CAATGTATTGTTATTAGACATTAAATGTAAATTGAGAAGCAAGGTGTTAAGACATTGTCAGTGACTAGTTGGTGTTTGTCTTTAAGCTTATTAATTCTTGTTTTGCAGATTGTGTAGTTATCTTGTTGTAGTGGCCCATGTGCTATTATTTCTTAACACTACTTTATACAATCTACAGAACTGACTGTAGAGTACGAGCATTGATAATTATTAGAGTCAATCATGCTAGATGCTCGTGTATGTCTATGTCTACCAAGCACTGCCCAGTATCTACTCTATATGTATACTCAGCCTACAATGCCCCTATACCATCGTCGCATCCACGAATAACCCCTATATACTATCAATTCTACTTACCAAATCACAAAGTGGTCTTCAACACGAGTCGAGTCTAACATGAATCTCGTATACATGCCCCCATCCCACCCTCTCCCATCCCCATATATGTCACCACCTCACCATCCAACGTCAGCCCATCCCTACACCACCCATCCCTATCCCTATTCCTAGGCCCCATCTCTTCTACACCCAAAACCATCCGACCCCGACACAACAACCCCCGCAAATACCCAGCTCGTGCATAATCTAAACCGCAAGCCCTCCGTAAGCTGACACACCACGCCCAATATCCATACCTCGGCAGACCCTCCCCAGGACCGAGGAATATCATACCACAGTCACCACCACCACCACCTCCTCCTTCCTTCATTCACATGCTTCCACCCCATCCCCCCCATCTACCCACACAATGCAATAGAACATCAAGTCCAACGTTCTAGAATGCCCAAAGATGACGAATCCACCCATCCACCTACCCGTCTACCCGCTCCCTCCCGATAGCCAACTAGTTAGTGACTATGTGGTATAAACCCCGATATATCTCCGACGACAGACTGTTAACCTAGTCTGGAAGGTACATACATAGATTGGTATCAGTTTGAAACGGCCTAAATGCAGTAGTCTGGGGGTATACCCAATAGAGGCAGAGGAATAGTATGATTAGCTACGTGGTAGGTTACGGTCCGTCTGACGGGTTTGATGGCACGTGGGTGAGGGTGAGGGTTATATGCTTAGTTTTGGGGATTAGGTTGGGCTTGAGCTTGAGCTAGTGGTGAAGAAAGGTAAGATGTAAGATAATTGGTACTGGTGATGGTGTGGTAGGTAATGAGCAGCGTGGCTGCAGGATATGGCCGAGTATGTGCGAGATTGGGGCTGGCTTGATTGTTGCTGTTGGTTAACTGCGTATCTGCGTAGGGGGCTGTATTCGGAGTTAGTTCCTGTTGGGGCTAGAGGGTGATGGTTGGTATTGGGGTAATGGTGTTACGTTTGCTTGGCCATATGAATGCTTGGAGGATCGAGGAGTGTGCTTTTGTATTGCTTGTGATATGATGTTGATGTATCGATGTCCCAGGCATGTGATGGATGAGAGATAGTAGTTTATATATTGATGTAATATGCAGAGCTATTATAAAGAGGCTATGTATGAGTGAACGTAGATTGTCTCGAAGGTTCGGAGGATATTAGGGTATGGGTGAGATGAATTGCTGGATAGATGTGGCTACATTGCTATTCAAGCTGCAAAGATAGTGATAGATTATTGGACACCTTTACTTTGATTACGATATTTCCGGTGGTTCCTCAGAATTTATCATAGCTGTTATGTTGGGCTTTTGCTTGAATGGCATTGTGTCATATGTAGACGTTCAAACAAACTTGCATTGGATGTGCCTCGCTTGCCTGTAACATATAGTGTCGGTTATCATATAAGAATTCTCAGCTAAGAATAGATATTGCAAAAAGCATCCAAGGAGATTGCACATGTACAGGTACATAGCGCTGTTTGTGCTCATACATGTGTTGTAGTGGTCTTCGGCAACCAATGGCTTAATATGGAAAAAAATGAGAACTTCATTAAATGATATGAACATTGATTGCCCCCTATTATTCTATCATTGAAGGTCGCTCCTTGGGAACACCGTTGTATCTCTCAGCAGACTCACTGCTAGCCCAAGTCTACAACAATCGGAACCAAAACACACCACGCAGTGCAGACAACCTACCAGTAAGCTCAGTAAGCCCAAGACTGGCATTTCTGCAGACAACCGCACCCCCTGCAAGACAGCTCCATGGCCGCAGATCCTCCTGCACGCTGATATACAACCCTAGTCATTTCAATTCTGACTGGACCTAATCAACTGGTGTGCGCGGTTATTGGCATAACCTCAGTATGCCTCGTAGCAGTTAGTCTGAACTCCTCCGAGCGTAAAGCCAATGATGAACGATGATCCAGTCACGGACAGAACATCGTTTTGAGTTTCTTGCAGGTCTAGTAGGAAGCTACTGTCAGAGGTAAACAGGCTGATCGACGTATAACATTGGAGGCCTGCGTCCGTTAGCTCTCGAGTCATTTGACTTTCGGACGCTAGGTGTCTAAGCGTTATGCTGAGTCTCTAGAGATATGATGGGTCAATTGACTCAAAGTACCGTGTCGCTTCCTGTAAGTATGTCTCCATGACTAGCCAGTCAGTGGTACGGAAGTGTATCCGAAGGCAACTGCCTGCTAACCAGATACCATACACATCATCCAAGTGGATGCCAAGGCAGAAGTGTCAATGCGAGAATAGCAAAAAGAAGAGTGCAGTAATACTTATCAGGTATCACACCCGTTATCTATATCCCTGTGGCTTTGCTGGACACAGACCTCAAGCCCTGCATTTCCGCGGCGGTGGGTGAACAGGGGTTGGTTGGTTGGTTGGTTCATCGAACAGTGCGAGCATATTGATAGAATGACAGGTATCTCTGCTATAGAGATAGACAATAGATAGCATACACGGGAAGTTGTCGTTTTATTCGTCTCATAACGTCGTATATTGGTCCTAATATTGCTAGTCAAGCTTATGATCGCCAATGGTCTCAGCAAGCCATGACCGTTACAGATGCACTTGCAGCGCGACGCGAGTCAAGATACGTCCCCACCCGAAAACGGGGAAACGAAGACACTAATTAGATACTAGTAACATATGAGAGAGAGCCTGGAAGTTCAAAAGTCTCTGATAGGTACTAAAAACGAGAGAGTGGGCTGGGGGATGGATAAGAAGGTTAATACCACGGTTTACCGGGACTGTGCTTCCCATCGTCTCTGGAGCGGAATTGGCAGCCGTGCGGGTTGGAAGTGTGGATTCGTTGAGAAGACGCGGTTTGAGCTCTCCCCTTCTTCTTCTTCTTCTCCCCGATACCGAAAACTCATGAATTATTGACTCGCGGAGGAAAGCATCTCTACTAAACTAATTACTGGTGTGGTGGCTGGAATTATTCAGAAATTAAAACGCTTCATAAAATCCAATGATCAGCTAATATATCACACACTCCCTCTTTGCTTCACCCCTGGCCCAGCCAATCTGTGACGGCAAGTTTTTGGTTTGGATCGAGTTACTACTTACGGGTCACGGCCAAGTCCACCGTGCAATCCAGACAGACATCTTAAGTAATTAGGTTGGATAACCCCAAAGAGCCCCATTAGGGTCTCGGAATGCGCACGTACTCGCGATGTGCTGCCAATGATGGATCTGGATGGTACGGAGCGCGTCGACGACATCCATGGTTCGGGGAAAGATGTTACCCAGTTACCTAGGGCCGTCTTCCAATCGTAGGGATCGAGTCGGATGGAGTACATGGAGTACGGGTGCCATCCGAAGCCTCAGAAGGCTCGTGCTGTTGCTGTGCTTTGGCTTTCCCGTCGGTAAGAAGCGGTAATCTGGCATACGCGCTGGTATTTATTCCTTCACGGTGTGTTTCTGTTTGTTTATCCTATATTAACTGGTTTTGAGTGCGAGATTTTTATTTGTTTGACTTGATTTTTCTGATTTTTCTCGCAGTCAAGGTAAGACACGAGGGCTAGGTCACTGTGTAGTGAGGCTAATGATAGGCTAAGACTGCTCTAGATTGATTGTTGGGTGGCGACGAGATAAAAAAAGAAAAGAGAGAAAGAGGAAGAAACTGCACATGCAAGTCGGACGGGAGCTTGACCACTGACGAGGTCTTTGTACCTAGTTTAGAGAGGAGGCTTTTGAAGAATAATGGGGAGAATAATATGTGCGTTGGACTATTGTGTGAACTGTGGCAGGGTGCAGGAGTGAGTATCAGCATGCATAGTATTCTGCATACATACAATGAAGAGACGGGTGAGGAGTCAAGATCCAATAGTGGGCTAAGAGATTCTAGAGTCAGTCAGTCAGTCAGTCAGTCAGTCAGTCAGTCAGTCAGTCAGTCAGTCAGTCAGTCAGTCAGTAATAGTAATAGTAATGATAGAGAACAAGTAAAGTTGACAAGAATAATAATACTCAAGTCCGGACAGTATCTGGTAACGGGCTGGTATGGTACGGGGCGGTATTGTCACTCCACTTGGACTGACTTGGGATTCCCGACCGCCAGCCAGAAACCAATAATGCCAATCTGCCCACCTCCCCCAAAGGCAATCGTCGGAACCTCCCTAAATCTCCCTCTCTCTCTCCTGGCGATTGCTGTCGCTTCGACTCTCCTTTTCTTTTGCTGCTCCTTTCTTTTTCTCTTCGTCGATGTCAGGTTGAACTCCCCTTGGGATTTTCGTGTCGAAGATAGATGGTGTTCTGACCTCAGATCTGACACCGTTACTTACTTACTACTTACCCCCCCCCCCTAACTCCAAGACCCCAAGTGTGTCTTAGTATCCCACTCACCTGCCACTTTCTGCCCCCCCGTATCTCACTCATCCTCTTCCCTGCCACCACCACCACCACCATTACCGCCGCTATCTGTCTATCACTTCCGCAGCCAATTTTGTAACCGCCTCGACTCTCTCCCCCGTTTACCACCGCTCCGCCTCGCTCTCTCGTCTTCGGTTACTTCCTCCTAGTCATGAACAACGCCTTTCGTTGAGCTCCTCCAGCCATCCGTTGCGGGGACGTTAGTGTGCCGATCTTCGTTTCCCTTTTGTTCGGACTATCAACCTGTTGTGATACCCGATGTTTGATTCCCGCGTGGCAGAGCCATTGGCCGTTGATACCGGATCTGCGCTGGCGACTAAGACCAACACCTATACGGCCGCTTTCGAGTACCCCGACGAACAAGTCACCACCCCCACCACTGGCACGCGGAGCCGTGCGAACAGTCTATCCTACCAACAATCCTCCCTCACCGCCGACCAATCGCCCACTCGGCGTATCTCCTCAATGAAGCTCACCACCGATGGGCGCTATACGCCCAGCCCCGAACCGCCTCCGGCGCTGTTCGTGCGGGCCATGTATGACTACGATGCCGATGATCACACCAGTCTCAGCTTCCGCCGGGGCGACATTATACAGGTATTGAACCAGCTCGAGACCGGTTGGTGGGACGGTGTCATCGACAATAGTGTGCGGGGCTGGTTCCCCAGTAACTACTGCACTGTGATAACAGACCTGGATGAGCTTGAAGACCAAGCGCCGCAGACCCATGAGAATGAGGAAGTTAGTGCGGAGTCAGGCATTGGCGAGGAGTACGAGGAGGAGCAAGATGCTGATGAGGTTGACTCGGCGGGCAATCCGCGCGACTCGCAGCCTATTTTGCCCATCGAGGGCGTGGTGGCTCCCAAGGAGCAGGAAGAGGCAGCCTTCTGGATTCCACAGGCGACACCTGATGGCCGTCTCTTCTATTTCAACACCCTAACCGGCTACAGCACCATGGAGCTTCCGTTCGAAAACCCCGCTGCCAACGAGACTGGCCCTTATGACCGCAACAACTTCCTCGTGCCCGACCAAACGCGACCCCCACCGGAGTTGATGGCTCGTGGGTTCGAACGGGATGAAGATGATTACGACGGCTCAGCTTCGGAAGCGGAGGGCGAGTCCTTGATGCTTACATCTCGCGATTCCATGTCTCGGAGACGCCAGTCCTACTTGGATGGGGTTTCTCCCGCGACGTCCATGGATTCGCTGCACCCACCATCTGCGACAAAGTCCATCAACGACGGAAAAAGCTCGCATCAGTCCCTCCTGACTTCGCACAAGTTCTATGATTCTGCTACGAGCAGTAACAACTCCGTCTCCGATCATATCCACAGGCCTTCGATCTCCTCCGAAGTTCCGTCGCATTTCGTTGACGACGGGTTTTCTGTTCAGTTGACCTGGCCTCTGCTTGTTGACAACATGCGCCATGCCGTTGAGGTCTACCGGCAAACGCTGTTGAACGGCGACCGTTCTGAGTATGTGAGGAAAGCGGAAGATATCTCCGACCATCTGCGCATGCTGTTGGCGGCTGGCTCAGACACCACCGACAATCATTCCGGAAATCCATCAGTGATCTCCACCAATAAGGCGCTGTATCCCCACTTCAGGGATATGATGTCAAAGTTTTCGAAGCTCGTGCTCTCGTCCCACATTGCGGCCGCCGATTGGCCAGGACCGGATTCCATCAATAAATGCCTGCAAGAGGCAGATGGTGTGATGCAGGGCGTCTACGGCTACGTCGAGGTTGCAAGACAACAGCGTGGCGAGACCATCCATCGAATCGTTCCTGGATTCGTCGTGGGCAGCTATTCGGGTGGCTGCTGGCAGAATAACGGCGTCTCTCTGAGTGACTCGGGCCCGACCTCCTTTTTGGATCACGACGCAAATGATTCGCGGGCGGAGCCATCAGTGACCCTGGACGCGGCCCTCATAGACCACATCGATGTTCTCAGAAGATCCTTTGTTGGCAGCATCCGTCGGCTGGAAGAGCGACTAACACTCAACCAGAAGAAGATTGTTACCATTAGAGAGCACGAGGAGATTGCCAATGCTGTTTCACTTGCTGCGATCAAGGTCGTTGAGCAGTTTCGCCCGTGGATGTCTGCGGTTGAATCTATCAACCTAGCACCATTGGGGACAAGCTTCCAGAATCCACAGCTGGTTGATTTCAGCTTGCAAAAGCAGAGAACCTACGATGCCATTGCAGATTTCGTCCTCAGCTGTCAAGCCGTTGCGGCACCACTGGGCGATGAATGGGCGGAACTGCGCGGCGACTCGCTTGAAGATCGATTGAATGCCGTGCGTGGCGTTCACCGGCAGCTCGAGAACTATGTTTCTCAAATTGGCTTCTCCCTTTCACTGCTCCTCGAACAGGTGCCCGAGCCTTCTGCTTTCCGCGCGGAAAGTCGCCTGGGTGGGGAGAATGCGGGGCTAAAGGCCATTCACAGCAGGTCAGAGTCCCAAGCTGGAGTCGCCACCGAGTCCATCGGTATTCCCTCTTCTTACTCGGTTGAAGGCGCGTCAGAGAAGGTGCGACGCAACATGGACAAGGCGCAGCGATTCTTTGGACAGGCCCCTCCGGCTGCAATCCCACGGGAGCCTGCAATGCGAGAACCGGTCCGCGAGCCGGAAGAAACGCCCTGGTTCTTGAAAACAGATCACGAAGGTGAAGTGTTTTACGATACGAAGAATGACAACCTGAACTTGAAATGTGGAACACTGGCAGGCTTAGTGGAACAATTGACTCGCCATGACAAGCTTGATGCTTCCTTCAACAACACCTTCCTCTTGACCTACCGCTCATTCACATCTGCAGAGGAACTCTTCGCGATGGTTACCGAACGATTCAATATCCAACCCCCGCCCGGTCTCAACAACGACGAGATGCAAATGTGGATCGATAGAAAGCAGAAACCCATTCGTTTCCGCGTGGTTAATATCCTGAAGAGTTGGTTCGAGAATTTTTGGATGGAACCCAATGATGAACCGCACATGGCGCTCCTTCAACATGTTCATGCGTTTACCAAGGATTCTATCGCTACTACGAAGACTCCCGGATCACCGCAGCTGCTGGCCGTCATAGAACAACGCCTTCGGGGACAAGACAACACCGTCAAGCGTCTCGTTCCCACGCAGGCTACTGCCGCACCAACGCCGATCATTCCGAAGAACATGAAAAAGCTGAAGTTTCTGGATATTGACGCTACAGAGTTCGCCCGACAGCTCACTATTATTGAATCCCGTCTCTACTCGAAGATTCGGCCGACGGAGTGCTTGAACAAGACCTGGCAGAAGAAAGTCGGCCCTGACGAACCGGAGCCTGCTTCGAACGTGAAGGCACTGATTCTTCATTCCAACCAGTTGACGAACTGGGTCGCGGAGATGATTCTCAATCAATCGGACGTTAAGAAGCGTGTAGTTGTCATCAAACACTTCGTTAACGTCGCAGATGTACGTGCCATTCCTTTGCCCCCTCTTGTTCCTCTACTAAGGGTAGATGCTGATGCTTACTAGAAATGCCGCGCTCTAAACAATTACTCCACACTGACATCGATCATCTCTGCACTTGGAACGGCTCCTATTCATCGACTGGGACGCACATGGGCTCAGGTCAGCGGGCGCACGTCCACCGTTCTCGAACAGATGCGCCGACTCATGGCCAGCACGAAGAACTTTGGTGAATATCGGGAGACTCTGCATCTGGCTAATCCGCCTTGTATCCCCTTCTTTGGTATGCACTCGTTGCGGGCCCCTGACCCTTGTAGGTATTATGCTATTGTTCGAGACTAACAGAGCTGCTTAGGTGTCTACTTGACGGATCTGACCTTCATTGAAGATGGTATTCCGTCTCTCACTCCGTCGGAGCTGATCAATTTCAACAAGCGCGCCAAAACCGCAGAAGTCATCCGCGATATTCAACAGTACCAGAACGTCCCATACCTTCTTCAGCCTGTCCCTGAATTGCAGGACTACATCCTTAGCAACCTGCAGAATGCAGGCGATGTGCACGACATGTACGATCGGAGTTTGGAAGTTGAACCCAGAGAGCGGGAAGACGAAAAAATTGCGAGGTATGCCAAAACCAGTAGAGACATGAGCGCCTTGACTCTCGCGAGCATGGTAGTGTCGACGCGCTGATCAGGTCGCTTGTTCTGCTTTTTTCTATCCCTATCCCCCTCCCTCTCCTGTTCCTGTCGTCCAGTGGTTGATCTCCCTAGGCGACACGGTCATTTGTCAAGAAATATTGAGCTCTGGAAGACGTCTTGATGCTTGAGTGAAGACTAACCTACTATCTCCCCCATACGTAGACTGTTGTCGGAATCGGGTTTCCTGTAGTGCTCGCCTCGCCTCGATTCTCGCTTCTCCGCCGGGGCTCCTTATCATCACCCCGGTCGACCTGCTATTCACTCGGCCAGATACCGAACGACCACCTATCACAATGCTTGAACGACGTCCGATGGCGCGATCGCAATTCACTCCAGCTACGCCATGCAACTTTATTTCTCAGGGGGCTGGTCCCACGAGCCGCCAAATCCATGATCCGAACCTCCCTTCCGACGGGTTTCTCCCTTATCTCTCTGTCTGCCCCACCTGGCCAATTATGCAATTCGCCTGGACACTATGCGACATTCCCACTCTAATTCTTGGCTTCGCCTGGACGATCGCCATCTCCCTGATCGACTACTGTGGCAGCCGTTGCACAAGGAGCTCGGGCAAACCCTTCTGTCACCTTGAGTCCGAAATAAGTTCCTGGACATCCTGTCACTTTCAGCGCTCGTCATCAGTCCAGTGGACATCTTATTCTTTTCCTTAAAGGAATGGTGCCCAAGAATGGCCCATTAGACTAAAGAAAAGCAGCGCAGGATCTCTATCAGTGCTGGCATAAACATGCAGGGATGTCTACAGCGACTCCTACGATATCGGCCTAGACTCCTGGTCAACCTCTTCCCCGTCGTTCCTTTTTCATCATTTCCTTTGATAGCCGGACACCATTTCCGCTCTATTTATTCCCGACCAACTCCAATCTCGTATCGATACGACTGCCATTTCTTTTGTCTTCTAGTCCACCTTGACGGTCACCATTTCTTTTCGGCTTCTTTTCCCGATACTTTACATATTGTGTCGAACATATCACCTCTGTACAATGGCTCGGGTCCCTTTACCCTTCTGTACAAATTCTCTTTGCTTTCGTGGTCTCTCACCTGGTGTTGATTGTGATCTTATAAAGAGGCTTGTTTACGGTTCGGATGATGAATTCTCACGACGCAGGCTACTATTGACGGATTGGTCTTTGCTTTGGGCATTTTCATTCATGATTACCCCCTCTTGTCGTTCCCTTGTGCTGACCTGTTCTTAATTGAACATATACACCTGCTGCAGTGTGTTAGTACATATTCAAGCACATATTACATATCTACCAATGGTAATTCAGTGTACAGGAATCGCAGTAACGAGACGCAATACGACTCATACAATGATAGATAGCTTGAAACGCTACTCAGTAAGCCACAAACAAAAGCAGTAAATGTATCCATTAAGTCATCTCGTCATTCATAGTAGAAATGTTCTCAAATGAACCTTCATAAGCCTCTCATAACAACAATAGTCGAGCACAAGCTCATGATGTCTCCGATTTATGGCCCTCGCCAATATTTTGAAACAGCTTCATCTTCACCTCCGCCGCCAACAGCCCCTTCACCTCTTCAGACACAATCCGCTGGCCATCCCTAGCCACTCTCTCCAACTGCGGATCCTTAACCTGCGCCAGATTTCCCCGCGAAGCACTACTCTCCACGCCCCTCGTCGCCCGCTTAATCTTCTGACTCAGATCCACCATCTGCTTGCTCCCATAGTCCCTCGTCGTAAACAACGGACTCTGACTCAACGTCGCAACCCAATACTTATTCCACAGCAACGACAGGATCTCCGTATCCAATGCACTCTTAAACACCGACACCTCCAGCGAATAATAATGCGATGCATGCGCACCGAAATCCTCCGCCTTGTTCAACGGCACCGTCTGGTACTCATCCTCTCCGCCTCCAGCACCACTTCCCTCCCCCTTCGGCGGGGTGTAATCCTTCGGAAACGTCCTGAACGCCCCAATGTCCACCTTCCCTGCCGAAATCGTCCTCTCCGGATCAACCACTACGGCCACAAACGGCCCTCCGAGCTGCTGCATATCCTGCGTCGTCACATCAATACCGGATAACCAGCACCCATACCCGGGGTGACTGTGGTACCAGCCCACTGCATTCTCCATCCGTCCTGCGTCCCGGCATGATTGTAGGTATGAGACCATGTATTCGTTGGCTTCGTCTTGCGCGTTGACTCGCGTTTCGGTTCCCTCGACGGGCAGGCGGAAGGCATCGGTTACCACGAAGGTTTCGGGGAGGATGTAGCCTTGCATTAGACCCATTACTTCGAGGGAGCCCCCTGACCGCGCGTGCATTACCATCTTTAGCAGTGCGACGGCGGAGATTCGGATCGATTTGAAGTAATGCGGGTCTTTGGACCACGGGCGCTGAGCGCTGAGTGCTTTGTGGGTTTCTTCATCGTATTGGTAGAGCGCGTCGCGGTGGGGGTCTATGAGGGTGACAGCATTTTCGAATTCTGTGGTGTTGGGGTTAGAGGGATGGGAGATGGAGTGGGGGTGGGGATGCGGATGGACGTACCCCAGGACTGCTGGGCAGCCTGCATGGTGGATGGTAGAGAGGAAGGTGAGATTGGGGTAGTAGAGGGAGGGTGTGAGTATTATCACGGAGTAATTTGGTTGAAAGAAGGAATCGAAATGATCTCTTGGGATGGAACAGTGAAGTGGAGTAGATAGTTACTGAGATCTGGATAGTTAGTAGATAGATCGATGGAGTGAGGTGACTCCGGGCGGTGAGTAACTTCCCGGCAGATCGCGGCGGAGATCGGCGCTGAGTCAGCGGTTACCGGGCCGACGAAGTAGCAGCTGAAAGCGGCGGGAAACAGAGCAACAAAGGCGGCGAGCAGATCGGGATTGCGGCTGCAGAATCCCCAAAGGGAGAAAGAAGCCCAGATTATTGTTATTGTCTTTCTTACTCCATCCACCGCTGCCTGTCTCCATCCCCTCCATCCCAGTCACCCTTGCATATACCTGCATCCCCTGGAGCTGGTCATAAATCTGGCGGGTCGTCCCTTGTCCTCGCAGATGCCACTCATCTTCCCGTGAGGCGCTTCGCTGTCAATCGCAGTCTCGCGTTGTTCATCCTGCCTGTTTGGATAACTCGCAGCTCCTCCTTCTAATCTCTCCAGGCGCATCGCCGCCCCCCGAGCGTACATGACGCTGACCCCCGCCCTTTAAAGGCGAGTTTGTTCTTCGATCGCGCACTCAAACAATCTCATTCAGGCCAATCGGCTCCACAATACAACAACAACCCCCCTGGTTTGGGCGTGGGAAACAAACATAACACCATGGCCGTCGATACAAGCTACTTGACCACTCAGGTCAATAACATCGTCACCCAATTGCATGGCATCTTTGATGACATCGGCGTTCCCAACCATGAGCGCGAGTCCAGAGAAGCAGAGGTCGGTTGTTTCTGATATTCTCAGCACCCCTCGCAACTAACTGTGAAGCAGCTTTTCAGCGCGTTGTCTGAAACGCTAAACAACCACCTCAAACTTGTGGATAAGTATGCGCCTCGCGTACATTGCAAAGCTGTTACGTACTAGGGCTGATCTTGTACAGTGAGAAAAAAGATATGGAGGAAGAGGCACAGAACCTCATTGAGGCAATCCAGCATATGGAGAAGTCCCTAGTGGATGAAAAAGCAAACGGACAATACCAGCTTGACCACAATGAATTGCGCATCAGCTACCCACTGAATCGCTGCCTCAACTTCCTCCGGGAAGAGCACAACGCTCTGAGCAAACTACACAAGGAGCGCTTCGAGCAAGTCAGGAGTAAGTTAATCCTGAGCGCCAGAAGGCGCGCAATTGCTGACTGGCCATAGAACTTGTCGAGGCTCTTGAGTCGTATGCGTCGCATCTGGAACCCACCTTTATCGCCATTGAGCTCCCCCCGACAGCTCCTGGTTCAACCATCTCACCCAGCTTCGATCTCTCGCCATCCTACGTCACTGCGCTAGACAGCGAATTCACCCGCGTTTACGAAGAGTACCATCGCCGTCTGGAGTTTGTTCAGTCCACATCGGAAGAGATTATCAAGCTCTGGGCTGAGCTCGGAACGCCTCAGGTCCAGACAGATACCAACATCGTCAAATATTATCGCGAATCGCCAGAACAGTTAGGTCTACATGAGTCGGATCTAGCCAACTTGATGGCCAAGCGCGAGAAGCTCCTGGGCGAGAAGAAAGGCCGTGAGCGCAAACTGACGGACCTCAAGAACGCCGTTGAAGCGCTGTGGGAACGTTTCGGAGTCGAAGACGCCGATAGGAAGGCTTTCATGAATGCGAACCGTGGCTGCGGACTTAGGACGATCAATGAGTTCGAGGACGAGTTGAGTCGCCTAAATGAGCTGAAGAGACAGAACCTGCACTTGTTCGTGGAAGATGCTCGGTGTCGACTTCAAGAGCTCTGGGACAGCCTTTACTTCTCGGAAGAAGAGATGCTTGACTTTACGCCTGCCTTTTCTGATGTTTGCAGCGATGCGCTGTTAGAGGCGCACGAAGCCGAAATCGCGCGACTAGAGACCTTGAAGGAACAGCGCGCCCCGACTCTGCAACTCATCGAGAAGCATAAGAGTCTCCTTTCAGAGCGGGAAGCGCTCGCCGTTTCGAGTCAGGACGCATCCCGTCTTATGGCTCGTGGAAACAAGGGCGAGAGACGTGACCCCGGAAAGCTGCTAAGAGAAGAGAAGATGAGAAAGAGGATTGCCAAGGAGCTGCCCAAGGTGGAAGCTGACTTGCGCAAAGAGCTGGAGAGGTGGGAGGATGAGTATGGCCGGCCATTCCTCGTCCATGGAGAACGGTACCTCGACGAACTTACCCCAGTTGTTGCAAAGCCTCCTCCGCGCTCCAAGACTCCTGGACCTACCAGTGCAAAGCGTCCTACCCCAGCACAACCTCCTCGTCCGGCTAGTGTCATGAGTTCTCGGCCTGGCAGTGCCATGCGAGGGCCTTTGCCACCGCGCTCGGCTTCTAAGACACCCACTGCCCACCCAACAACAAAGTACAACACCATTGGACCTGCTGCTGGTAGGGCAGGAGCCAAATCGCCCTCGAAGATTCCAGCTCGTGTTCCCTTGGGCAATATGCCGCATGGAAACAACTCCCCGCGCCGGGGTGGTCCAGGCACATATTCGTCTAGCACCGTGAACGGTAAGATGCCGGCGCCTCGTGCACCACCGCCGAGGATGCGGGCATTGACCGGAGGTGAGTCGAGGGAAGATCGAGCGGCATATCTCTTTGAGCCACCCCGATCTGCCAGCGCCTTGTCGAATTCATTCGTGCGACCAGTCAGCCCAGAGGATGTGTATGATGATCGTAATCAACGCTCTTTTGTCAGCTCTTCCGCGTTCTCTCAACGCTCCACTGGATTTTCCCAATCATCCCACTCTTCAGCTTCGTCCCTGTCCTTGAGCTCCTCTATGCAAGGCTACCCCAAGCCCAACCCATATTTGCAGCAAATGCCCCCACCGCCAGCGCCGAGACAAGTATCGAACTCCACGGTGCAGACCGCAGTATCCGGGTCAGAGAACTGGGAGACTTTCGATGACGGTTCGGAATCCGAAGCAGACGCTAGCGACGTGTACTATGCAAAGCTTCGTGCTGCACATGGGAAGCGACTGGCCGATCCTGAGGAGAACCAGAACCGCTCCCTTGCAGGCAAGAAAGCCAAAGGCATCCGAAGCGTAAGCCCAGATGAGCCAGGTCCCCAGATGGGGAACATGGTTCGAGTCAGCGACGCCGAGTGGACGGACGACCTGGAGCCGTATTGAAGCCTCCGATAGCCTTTCGTTGATCTAATGACCCTACTCGAGACTTTCAGGGGTCTCTGAAAGAACGTGATTACGAGACGACTCGACGTTGACGATTTCACGAACGACCCTGAAGCCCTCTTTCTGTCACTATCCCCTATCCCAACACGCGCCATAATTGTTGAGCTTTTTACGGTGTCAACAACGGCTTGCGCAATTGCGCTCAGCTAACCATCTTAATTTCTTCTGTTAAAATTCGGAATTATACCACGTGCGTTATGTTCTGGCTTATCTGGACGCTCGACCTTGGATTCCTTTTGCGTCCCACTTACTTCTACCACTCTGCCACTCACTGCGTGATAGGCAGGGCCCGACAACCCGCGACCGAATGCAGCATGTCGTTCCCTGATGTCAAAAAGAAACAAAGGACTGCGGAAAAACCAGGCGTCTTTTTGTATCATGCCTTTTTTGCTCTATGTTTGAATAATTTACCTCTACCCGGACTGGGATAGACGGGGGTTGGTGTTCCTTCTGCGACTCCTTCCTCTATTTCTTTTTTATGATAATTCGCTCGATTACTCGATTACCGACTTTGATCTTCTCTTCTCTTGGTGTGGCTCTCTGAATTTTCTTCTTTTTGTCTTCTATGGACGCGTGTATAAGTCCCTGGCATGCTTTTTACCTCTATTTCTGTTGTGATATCAGCGCGGTTTGTGTTATGCTTTAGCCGCTAAGTTTACTTTATGGTTTCATGTCCTAGCAATGGATAGTATTTATTTCTCTTTTCTACTTACTTTTGCCTACTTGAAGATAAGATCGAGTTGTAGGATAGTATGATAGATGAAATATGAAAGCTGTAACATGGTTCTAGTAGTAATCCTATTCTACACTTATTATACACTTCATACATACAAACACAACATCATCCATCCATCCATCCATCTCACACTTCTATAATCACCCCTAAGAAGACCCAGAAGAAGGAGCCAACGACCCCATCCAAGACCGATCCTCACCCAAACTCTCCACTCCCTGCTTAACCCGTCTCGTCGGCCCGGGCACCAAATGCTTTGTCAACTCCTTCGCCTCCTGTACTCTCCTCACCGTCTCCTCTCTCCCCAAGATAGCCATCGTCTCTGGGATTCCAGGACCCGGTGCACCAGCCGACAACGCCCAGCGGAGATAGTGATACAGTTCCTTCTTGAATGCCTTGTCGGCGGCCTTTTGCGCCTTGGTGGATTCCTCCGGCGTGAGGGTTGCGCTTTCAGTGTCCGGGGTGGTGCCGTCGTAGGCGGTTATGTTTGCGCGGTGGGTTTCGAGCGTCCAGTGGGCCGGGGGGACAAGGGTGAGTGCGAAGCTTGCGGTGTGGAGGGAGGTTAAGGGGATTGTGGTTGTCGTGGAGGAGGGGGTGTAGGGGGGTCGGGTGAGGGATTGGGTGAAGAAGGTTGAGTTGCGGGTTGTGAAGTCTGCGGCGTTGGTGTAGGATTTGGCGTCGGCGCGGAGGAGGGGGGAGATGTAGGTTTGTAGGGAGCGGGATTGGAGGAGAGGGGTGCTGTGAGGGGGTCGGTGGTTAGTTGCTTTGTTATGGGTGTTGGTGTAGGGGGATAGGTGGACGTACAGTTGCGCCGCTGGGTAGGTCTTCTCGACTTCTTCGGAGACCTTGGTCACCATCTCGGTGAACTCGGGGCCGTCGGTGGCGGCGAAGCGTTGGGCGTGCGCTTTCTGGAGGAACCACAGCTTTTCGAAGGCCACGACGGTGTTGCCGCGGGTGATTTTGAGGTTGAACTGTTGGGTGTTAGTGGGTTTGAGTGAGTGAGTGAAGGGAGAGGTAGAGGAACGAACGAGTTGCTCTAGCTCTTCAAGGTTGAAGATGTCCGACTTCTGGGTATGAGACCAGCCTAGGAGAGCGGCAAAGTTCACTAGGGTTGCGGCAAAAACGCCCTGAGTGTCCTTGAAGAAGCTGAGGTCGATATCCGCATTGCGCTTGCTGAGCTTCTGTCCTGACTTGTCTACGAGCAGAGGTACGTGACCGAACTGGGGAGGCGTCCACTTGAAGGCGTTGTAGAGCGCGACGTGCATGGGGGTCGAGGGCATCCATTCCTGAGTAGTGTGTGAGCTTGCGCATCTTCTTTAGTATCGCTTCCACGCAGCTTACCGTTCCTCGAATGACATGGGTGATCTTCATGAGATGATCATCCACCACGTTCGCCAGATGATAGGTCGGGTGTCCGTCGGACTTGATCAAGATGGGATCATCATAGACACGCTCGATCAGATCCAACTTGTTCGGCGAGCGGTTCTGCCCTGTCTTTCCGTACACCAGATCATTAAACATCGGGTATCCCTCCACCTTCAGTCGAACGACATGCGCTTCGCCCTTAGCCGCTCTCTCTTCCGACTCCTCCGCGGAAACCTCCCCGCATTTCCTATCGTAACCGGCCGGCAGTCCAGCTTGGCTGCGATGTCTGGCGAAAGCGTCCAATCGATCGGCGGAGCAGAAGCAGCGGTAGGCGTGGCCGTTCTCGATCAGCTCCTGCGCGTGGGAGCGGTAGATGGCGGTTCGTTCGGACTAGAGCCTCTCTCAGTAACTGGCCCTAATGAGCAGGTGTCCTTCTATCATACCTGTCTGTAGGGACCGTACGGGCCACCGACGACCGGACCTGTAGAGAGCAATCATCCGTTAGCCATCTACTAGCCTCGCACCGTTCCACGGGAATTGTCTCCGTACCTTCATCCCAGTGCAATCCAGCCCACCGAAGGTCATCATAAAGCCTCTGCTCAGCATCCGGAATTGTACGTTTCTGTAGCCAATCCCTCAATTAGCCCTACCTCCTTCCAAGGTCGACCCACAGCTGTTTGGCCAGCTAATCACCGCACCTGATCCGTATCCTCAATGCGCAGCAAGAACTGTCCCCCGGTGCGCTTCGCCAAAAGGTAATTGAACAGGGCCGTCCGCAAAGATCCCAAATGAAGATAACCGGTCGGGGACGGTGCGAATCGAGTCCTCGCCGGCGAGTCAGGCAACTTGGTCTTCTTGTTGATCGTATTGTTATTGCCAGCGCGGAGATTCGATGCCGGCGCGACGGAGGAATACCGGGCTCGGCATTGAGTGCAGACCCAAGGACGACGGGCCCAGACGGTCGGGGTTGTTGGGCGCCTGAGCATCGCGAGTGACAGGACAGAAATAAAAAATGCCGATGCTAATGCTATAGAAGTAACAAGTATGCGCTGAAACTGGGGAAAATCAATGGCGGAGAAAGAAAGATAAATCCCGACAGAAAAGGCGGAAAGCGCAATTAAAAGTGATGTGATTGGTGGATACCGGGCGGCAATAAATAATTATCGGGCGCTGCTTTTATCGCGATTGCTTTGCCTTTTTACTTTTACTGCCTCAGCCGCTCTCTCTCTTTTCTCTCTCTCCCTCTATTTACTTGGTCGCCAGGAACACACGGTTTTGCTGGCTTCAGACTTTGCTCGTTTATAGTTTTGCTTGTTTTTATACTGTTATCTTTGATACCCTTTATTCGTCGCTCGTGCTCGTTGGGGATCTTACCCTCTACTTCCTACTATCAGTATGTGTTCCCGCTATCGCTTAAAAATCAGACATTACTAGCTCGAGGTTCCAGTGTGCTGACTGATTTGGCCTGGTTTAGTGTCGAAAGCGGACGTTGACCTCTACGGTATATATATTGCCTACTATTATTCTTTGCTTGAAGAAAATGCGAAAAGCCTACACTAGCACCAGCGACTAATTATAATGTGATGGATTATAGAGGTCTTGGGCATTGACAAGAGTGCCAGCAAGGATGACGTCCGGAAGGCTTATCGCAAGGTATGCAGCTTCTCTATATCGGTCGCAGTGTCCAAGCACAGTCTAATATATCCTTTTATCTTATAGGCCGCCCTAGCAAACCACCCCGACAAAGTCCCCGAAGCCGAAAGAGAAGAAGCAGAGGTTCGATTCAAGGCCGTGCAGGAAGCCTACGACATCCTCTACGACGAAGAAAAGCGTGAAATCTATGATACCCACGGAATGGGTGCTTTCAACGGCTCCGGTGAACCGGGTATGGGCGCGGGCCCTGATCTGGATGATATTCTTGCGCAGATGTTCGGTGGTATGGGAGGTATGGGCGGCATGGGCGGCATGCCCGGTGGACCGCATGCGCGTAAGCCGCGCAAGAGCCCGGATGAGGAGCAGAAGTATGAGGTTCGCCTGGAGGATCTGTACAAGGGCAAGACAGTCAAGTTTGCTAGTACGAAGAACGTGATTTGCTCTCATTGTCAGGGCAAGGGTGGTAAGGAGAGGGCGACGGCCAGGAAGTGCTCCACTTGCGATGGTGAAGGTAGGTTTCTATACTTCGGAACTTGCTGTGCAGGATTTCAGGCTAATGTATTGCTCAGGTTACAAGCAAATTTTGCGCCCGATGGGTCAGTTCCTGTCTCCGGCTATGGTGCCCTGCCCTACCTGTAACGGAGCGGGTGACTACTTTGTCGACAAGGATAAGTGCAAGAAGTGCAAGGGCAAGAAGACCACCGAGGCCAAGAAGATGCTGGAGATCTACATCCCTCGCGGGGCGAGGTGAGTCTGCTATATGCGGCACTGTCTGAAGTGTGATAACTGACTCTGTGTTAGGGAAGGAGACAAGATCATCCTCGAGGGCGAGGCCGACCAGGTGCCGGGTCAGGAACCTGGAGATATCGTTTTCCACATCGTGGAAGAGGAGCATGAGACTTTCCGGAGGGCTGCTGCTGACCTGACAGCAACAATTGATGTTACGCTGGCCGAGGCCCTGACGGGCTTCTCCCGGGTGGTGGTCAAGCACCTTGACGGTCGCGGAATCGAAATCCAGCACCCCAAGACCCCCGGTGAGGTTCTCTACCCGGGCCAGGTCCTGAAGGTTCCTGGTGAGGGTATGCCCATTAAGCGCAGCGATGCTCGCGGCGACCTGTACCTGGTCGTCAACATCAAGTTCCCCGACGGGCAATGGAAGCCCAGCCCTGCTGTTCTGGAGCAGCTCAAGGAACTGTTGCCCAAGCCGGAACCCCCCATTCAGGCTGACACCGTGGACGAGGTCGAATTCGACCCCAAGGGCAACCTGGATGACTTTGGGGCGCATGACCCCGAAGGAGGTTCTGCCTGGGAGGATGACGATGAGGGTGAGACAACTGCTCAGTGTGCGACGCAGTAGACTCTTGGCATGCTTATGCTTTCTCTGTATCTGTTTTGCCTCTGCTCCTTTTTCTGTTTTTGTCCTTTTCAAGGACATTATACCTCTCTGCTTGTTCACCTCATGATGATAGACTCGTTGGCTGCTTCTGGATCAGCTCCCCTCTCGCATCGTGGGCGTTTCGGGTCAACTTTTATGGATTGATCGATGAGATAAATATAGTTTTATGATGGGAATAATGATTGTTGAGTGTGCAACTCTTTGTGTCCAATGTAGACAAATGACCTTGTGCAGAGAGCTTCTTAATCCGAGTCATGACTCCTATCAGCCAATGAACCACCGATGCGCCTACGATTATGTGACTACGGAGAAAGACATCGGTGGACATGCTGAGGCATACATATCCAGGAGCATGTCATGGCATGTCGAGGGACTGACTTTGTCGAAAGGAACCCACAAGGACCGCCAGTACCTGGATATAGTTCTGCCTACTCTGTCTTATCGACAAGGTATTGACTAGCCTAGTACTTTTACATCTTATTGACTTGGCATGATAGGTATATTGTTTTCTTGATGTTCCAGAATTATCGTAGGTGCTTTGGTGGGTATTATCAATACTCCTTCTCTCTACACGGAACTGTCGACACATACCAAACATCCAACACGTACTCTTCGGATAACCGCAGCCCCCTAAATAACATGCGACTTTTAGCTTTATAAGGCTGTATAAGGGTTTTGTTGGCTACCTTGCCCGCATTAAATCAACCGCTAAGCAGACAAAGCCGGCATTTATGACCGACTTTCTTGGCTTCTCGGTACTCCCATCGTCCAGAAGGACACCTTGTGGTCCTCCTTTTTGGTGTGTTCGGGACACTTCACAAATTCGCTATTCAGGCTGTGGCCGTAAGAATAGCGAATTTGATACTGGGTACAAACGTCCCGTTGAGGAGGCATGGTCGTGCTATGGGAAAATAATCAGAGATCTATAAGAGAAGCAATTTCGTAAAGCCCTCAATCGATGTACGTAATTCAAGAGTAGATCGATGTGCAGAGTCGTTGATTAGGAAGACTGGGTTTCCTTTTAATAGTATGCGAGTGGAAAACGTCCAGGGCTATCAGTGACTTAACGTGTATATACCCTCATCATTGGCTGTACAAGGTGCTTAATTGAATGGTCTCAGCATTCATAAAGCTGAAGCCCTCCGAATGGAATAGGCCTGAGCACCAGCGAATGAACCGATATGTCCGCAACAACATAGTCGTTGTCCCATTTTTTCGATCCTAGGCAACCAAGCTTTGAGACAGTAACAGCTCGCTATTGGATTAGGCATTGGTGAGTGTGAATGGTGGCCAGCCTCGCCAGTAGCATGAACTTGGTGTATTGGATAACAAGTTTAGGCATGTTTAGGATTAGAGCCGACACAGGAATCCTCAAAGTCAATGAATTTTGCTCCATTGTCGGTGATGAATATGTTGTCCCTGTTGATATCTCAATGTAATATATCGAGGTTGTGAAGTTGTTGCAAAGCACTTTCACTTATCTCAAAGTCTAAAGCGTTTAGGTGATGTCCACTGAATTGGTCAATGATAAATAGGATGACACGATGTGGCGTCTCTTGAAAAACCGACCCAAGGACTTTTGAGACCAATGCTGAAACATCCTGCGTCAGTATATGGTAAATTGAATCATCTCCTGTGCAAGCCAGCCAAGCTCAAAGTCGCCAAGTTTGTGCCCATTTTGTGAGGCATGAGGCCTGAATAGATCACATTTCGCTTCGGATGCCACTCTCATCCTTATGGACAGTCAGAGTTTCCCAAGTTTTATGCTGTTAGCTAAGCTTCGATAGTTCACATATCACTTCAGGGCGGTAAGTTCGCGATTGATCTGGAATTATATCCAAATCCTTAAGCGTAACATACACAACCCTTGTGCTGTATGTGAAGTTGGTAAAAGCACAGAACATGTGGATCACTGGGTATATATCGCTTGTCTTTGTCACGTGGCAAAGGCGGTCTCACCCCAGATTGCATTCATTATTACTGCCTGTGATGTTACTATGATGTGGTGGTGACTGATGCATACTTGAATACTACGTGTATTCACTAAAGACTCTCATTCCTGGAGAAGAGAAAGAGACCTCTACATTAAGGGAATCAGGCTACTTCATATATTTCAGTAGCTGATTACAGTACCTACCCGCCAAGTTCCATTCAAAATTCCCTTCATCTAGTTCTGATTAGTACTAACTTCACCTCTACCAACTTAATCCGGTTCTTCCCTATATACCCCTCGGCTTCTTCCTGCTGACCTTGTCGGTGGCTTCCGCTTTTTGAATATTTCCCCTCCGGCTGTTGCCATCCTGAGTTCACAGATATAACATTTTCTGTATTCTGAGTAGTATGTGAATGTATGTATAGAATTGATTACAGATCATAATGAGTTAACATGTATGAAATCCTTTACTTCGAATTACTACTCAGTACTTATAGCATGACCGCGGCATTGTTCCCCAAGCCCCTTCTGATTGGCTATTGCCCAGATTCTGCAGAAATCTGGCTCTTCCATTGGCCCAGTTGCATATTGCGGGCTGCCCACATTGACCACTTGCGCAATCCCACCAAACCTGTACGTATGCGGCCGGTCAAAGTGATTCCGTCAACTGGCAAATCAGTAAATCCCTGTGTCACCCCCTCAAGGCGTTGTGTGCAGAGCATGTTAAAATTATGTGTGACATTATTGGATCACTGAGTCTGCCAGTCCAATAGTATTGCGTGTTATATCTATTTGTTTCTATTTATTTGATTACTTCATGTCATTAATCTACAAGGAAGCGGTAGATACTAAGTGCCTGTAGCTCTAACAGATGCCACTACCGATCTTTTCGCAGTGTCAAAGTATTAGACAGCCATACAACTGGCAACTCTCATGCCAATGGTTATTCACAGCTTAGAAATCCATCTTTATATGAATTGCATCATATTAGTTTACGATATACCCGACTTATGAATGTGGGAAACTGAGTTTCCCGACCCGATCTAACACTACCTATGATGCTGTGCATTGCAGCTGCACAACGCCACAGGTGCTGGCATCGGACTTTTGACGGGGTTGCAAACCCGCGCTGGTTCAACACAAGTCGGGATGAGGGAATAAATAATGCATGGATACCAAAAGAAGAAATGTAACCCCCATGCTCTTTCTCCAGGCCCCTCCGTGCCCCCATGGATATAGCGTGGGGTACACACCTCCCACGGGCTCCATCTCCATCACCTCAACCAACCAACTAAACCAACCCGAGCCGAGAGCCACGCGATCCAAGGCTGATTTCCGAAACATTGGTACGGGGTCCCCATCACACCTCCAGCCTGTTTGCTGCTATTTAATTGTCAGCTTTCCCACTGTGCCCGACTTTCCATTCCAGATAGTTTCCGAGTGGTATTTTAACGTTTTTTCGCTTTTTCTTCCGCTCTCTTTTGATGCCCCTTTCGGTACGCGGCTAATCTGACTCGGACATTCTCCGCCGATTAACTCGGCACCGGCGCACCGCATTCCTAATCCCGGGGTAACCTTCTCGGTGTCAAAGCGTCAAAGCAGCGGTCTTTATTTTGCGACCCTGCTTCCTCCATCATAGTAACCTTGAATAGCCATATAGCTAGTGAAGTGTTTGTCGACAGACAACGGACCATCTAACATGTCGTGCCAGTCGCAGGCTTCATGTGAGGGCTGCTCTTGCAGCGGCAGTGGCAGCAAAGGAGTGGTTAATATTGAAGATTGTGAAACCGAGCTGCTCGCCCTCCGGAAGAAAACCATAGAACTTGAAAAGACTCTTGCATCCATGAAGAGTTCGTCAAGCAGCACACCGAAAGTCGGACGCAAGCTGCGGTCCACCAAGTGGTTTCAGTGCGAAGGCGACCCAGGAATGATGGCCTTGTACATTGAAAGATACCTCAACTATGGTGTGACTCGGGAGGAACTGATGTCTGGCAAGCCAATTATTGGAATAGCTCAGACCGGATCCGATTTAGCACCGTGCAACCGTCATCACCTGGAGCTTGCCAAAAGGGTCCGAGAGGGTATCAGAACTGCTGGCGGAATCGCCTTCGAGTTCCCCACTCACCCCATTCAAGAGACTAGCCGACGGCCCACCGCTTGTATCGATCGGAACCTTTCTTATCTTGGCCTTGTTGAGATCCTTCATGGCTATTTTCTGGATGGGGTGGTCCTCCTCACCGGGTGCGACAAGACCACTCCGGCATGCCTGATGGCTGCTGCCACAGTCGTACGTTGTTCTGCAAGGCTTGCATCTTATTCTTTCACAGCTGCCCAACTGACTCGGATTTTCAGAACATCCCTGCTATATGTCTCAACGTCGGTCCCATGCTCAATGGCTATGTGAAGGATGAACTGGCTGGTTCGGGAATGGTGGTCTGGAAAGGCAGAGAGATGCATGCTGCAGGACAGATCACCACGGAGGAATTTGTAGATTACATCTCCCGCGGGTACGTCACTTGATTTTGGACACGCTTTCCTGGCTTGGACTAACGCTTGGCATTAGTGCACCGTCAGCAGGACATTGCAACACGATGGGTACGGCATCTACTATGAACGCGCTTGCAGAAGCCCTTGGCATGGCCCTGCCTGGGTCAGCTGCCATTCCAGCTCCCTACCGTGAACGAGCCCAATGTGCCTATGAGACCGGATTACAGATCGTAGAGATGGTGCACTCTGATCGCAAGCCAAGTGACATCATGACCAGAGAGGCTTTCGAGAATGTCATTGCTGCCAACACCGCGATTGGTGGTAGTACAAATGCTCCCATTCATATCAACGCCATCGCGAAGCATATTGGGGTGGATCTTTCGCTAGATGACTGGGACCGCATCGGGTTCCACATCCCGCTCTTGCTAAATATGCAGCCGGCGGGGGAGCTGCTAGGGGAAGAGTATTACCGAGCCGGAGGGTTGCCGGCTATTATGGCGGAGCTGCTGGATGCGGGCAAGTTGAATGCAGATGCTGTGACGTGCAATGGCCACACTGTAGCACAAAACGTCCGTGGGAAACATAGCTGGAATCGGCGGATGATCAGAGCTTATGACGATCCTCTTCTCAAGGATGCTGGCTTCCTTCACTTGACCGGCACCCTGTTTGACTCGGCCATTATGAAAACATGCGTCATCTCTGAGCCGTTCAGGCAAAAATTCTTAGAGAATCCCGCAGATCCAAATGCATTCGAGGGGTCTGTGGTAGTTTTTGATGGACCGGAGGATTACCATCGTCGGTTAGAGGACCCCTCCACCCCCATCACTGACACAAGTATCCTGGTGATGCGCGGGGCCGGTCCACTGGGCTATCCCGGTGCAGCTGAGGTGGTCAACATGCACCCTCCGGGAAGGCTGCTGCGAGAGGGGGTCAAGTCACTTCCATGCATTGGTGATGGACGGCAGTCGGGAACTTCAGGATCTCCATCTATCTTGAACGCTAGTCCTGAGGCAGCAGCGGGCGGTAACCTTGCAGTCCTTCGGGATGGAGACCGGCTCCGAGTGGACCTTAACCAGCGGCGGGTAGACATCCTTGTCTCTGCGGACGAATTGAGGAAGCGCAAGCAGAAGCTCGAAGCAAGTGGGGGTTACAATATGCCGGAAAGCCAGACCCCATGGCAAGAGTTATTCCGCAAGGAAACGTCCCAGCTGAACGAAGGAATGGTTCTCCGAGAGGCAGTCAAATACCAACGGCTGGCGCAGCGATACCCGGAGCCCAGGCACAATCACTGAATAATGACTATTTTGTTATGGATTAATCTGAATAATGAGAAACCATCACTTCTTTGACCCACCAGCCGCTTCATGGGGTGGCGCGTGCGCGCAACACAACACAGTTCATCACGCAGGCTTGTTGCTTGATGATATCATGTTGTGTAAAAAGCTCAATACCCATTATAGGAAACGCTATTAGTAGGCATTCAGTACCCGATCAGACCTCAGTCCGGAGGATACACCACCGGGCCAATAGAGCTGTATGAGCTTAATAACTAATGAGCTAGTGAAAGCTAATTTTGGGAAGAGAGTATATGCGAGATAGCATCTCCGCAAGGGTATTAGGTGAAATTCTGACGCGTGGGATGGCACATGGAGCACAGAGTATGGAGGAAGCTTTGTAGGAATGTGAAGCTAAGCTCCAGGCCATCTGGCCACTGCTCAATCACGGGATTCCCAGCCCCTCCTTTGAACTGTTCCGTCTTCTTTTCGTGCCTGGGAAAGAGCGGAAGACGTGCGATCTGTGCGACATCCGTCCGTGAGCCTCTGTTGACTCACTCCCGTCTACCTCTCACCCCCCTAAAAAGTGCCGGTCTTGACACCGCCATAATGTGCTTGATAGCACAGGGGCCTGAGCAACCAGCAGAAACACTTGTTGTGGCCCAGTGGTGAATTGCAGAACAAGGAACCTTGGAAAGACTGCACGCCTGCATGAACAACACGGCAAGGCCGTGATAATCCTGGCTTCTGTGATTTGATCCCAAGAATGTAGCTTGGCCGAGCCAAGCTAGCTAATGCGGTGATTATTTCTTTTTCGAACTTCAGTGTTGCTCATCTGCTAAAAGTTTTGATAGGAGAACGGCGCTAGTGATATCATGTTCTGGCGATCGCAGCTAGACTAGCTCGCTAAGGCATATTAGCCACATGGTGTGCGACATCAACAATAACAACTATGCTACTACCCTCAGTACTGCAGCCGAAGAAAGGGATAGAAAGTCAAAGCTCAGCCGAGGAAGGATCGAGACCAGCCCGAAAATGAGAGCCAAGATCGGGTGATTTCGTGATAGAGGTCTCGAACCCCCAAGGTGAAGTGTTCACTACGCGATGCCCCGGGTGACCTGATAGGGGGTGGTGGTCGTGATGGAGGCCACCAAGCAAGGACTTGAGTCACCATGGAGTAGTGTGCGCCATAGGCACAGCCACCGCAGCCCGGAGGTGAAGTAATTTTAGGCAACTGAATCTAGTGGATGATGTGATCCGTGATGCTCACGTTCGTACTCGGATTCTCCTTTTGCTCTCTCTCAATTTTTCGACAGCTGATTGGAATGATACAGTCTATGCATCAAAGCAACACACCTCACAGCTCGGAAGCAACATATCCAGGATCGGGATATCAAAATACGGGCCTGGATGGCGGAAAAAGACACAGAAGGGAAAAGTTAAAATATCGCCCGAGGGTGGATCCCGTGGGGCTCGGGTTTCCCGCGTCAAAGTTTCCTGTTGCAGGGCAAAGATTCCATTGATTTAGGGTGGGATTAGGGTGATTAGGGTGATTAAAGCCACGGAACGGATCCAGTTGCAAGTTCAGTTGCCCACGCTACCGTTTGGGATGACGGGCGCCTTCTCAGTATGGTCTAGCCCGTGACATCAAGAAAAATTTTCCACACTTTTCCAGTTTCCACACCCACAATTCTTAGGTCCGTCTGACTGACTTACTCTGACCTCAGACCGCCCCAGAGGCGCGCACCATCTCGAATTTCCTGCCTCTTTTTAAACCAATCCGGTGCTCGTCATTTGTCCTGTTGCTCTCTCGCTCTCTCCCTCCTACCAATTCCTGCATACGTCTCCTTTGACGGACATCCATGCTCCTTGTTCCCTTCTGTCCAGTCAGATGCGAGCTTGCCACCATGCGGTTCTAAGAAGCAATCTTAAAGAAAGAGCTGTCCACACCGTCCCGCTGCTTCTACTGCTGCGCCTGTTGCTTTAGCTGTCTCGCGGCCCCTCTTCCCAGCTTCCCTGGTCTCCTGGTCCTGTCGATCAGTCCCAATTCCAATAAATAAAGCCCGTCTCAATCCAGAATTTTTCTTCCTTCAGCCTTCGCGAAGAAAAAGAAATTTGACCCTCCATTCAACTTTGGGCCGGGCCTAGACTGTCGCCAGGCACGTCTACATATACATACAATCGCACACACCGCATCGTTACAGCGTGTCGTGCATCTTGCTCTTGCCTTCCCCTGGACTTGAGCCATCTTATCGGAGGCAGTCTCGACGAATCCTACTCCTTTCCCAAAGCACTTGGGGGCACAATCAGCCTTTATTGATTGTTGCCTAACATCCTCTTTTCCTCCTTCATCTTCTACTTTCAGGTTATACTACTTGTTTGTTTAAGATGTACGTCGACTTATAACCCGTCGTTGCAACTCGCAACCCGTTGTTTCTTTGATATTCTGTTCATCAGCAAGCGAGCGTTTTTCTCGATCTTCTTTCTACACATCTGAAGTTTTCAAAATCTCTCTCGACATCGTGTCATCCTGAAAAAAGCCTACTCGATTCTCATTACCATGGCTCCCAACCTCTTTCTCTGTTTGCGGAACGTGTTCTGCCCGACCTACTGGTTCCAGCGTGGAGAACGCATCCAAGGTTCTATCCACAAAGAGGAACATTGGGACAGTCCCGTTCCTGGCATCTACAAGTACATCCCGGGTCGAGGATGGCATCTTGTCTACAAAGACGGCAATGACAGCGACGAGAAAGTGCCTGTTCCGCTTGTCTATTGCCGGATCCTTCACCGATACATCTTTGAACACGAAATGGAGGAGCGCTGCCGCTGGCACACCGTGGAAATCCACGAAGGCGCCAAGCCAGAAAAATTCATGTTCTTCCTCCTTGATGATGGATACACCTGGGTGGCCGGATGGGATGCCAAGGGCAAATTCATTCCCGGTCCTTACCAGAAATGGCACTACGATGCAGAGTCGAGGACCCTGCGCCGGGTGCTCTTCCCCGAAAGCTCGAATGTGTCCCGGGCTAGCATTTTGCCGAACAAGATGACTTGACCTTGTCCTCGAGTGGGAACAAACCGAAAACTTCTTTTGCTGTCAACACATTTGCTTGACCATCGCGATGCTATCTGCAGCTGGATTCTACAGAACATGCGGTGGTCGATTGCGCGTGCACACGACTGATTGATTGCTATATGGGATAGCGTTTAAGCGAGGTGTCTTTCTTATTTGCTTCCTTTTTTTTCTTGTTGCCTTTGCTACTTTTTTATGATGATATTCACACATGAGCCTGTAATGCTGGGATGAATCTGCTTTTCTGCAGTGACCTTGTTTACAAAGCGACAATGGCGTTCGGGTCAAGGTCATAGAAAATCGGATAGACATTGCGATAGAGCGCATGGGGGTTTGGCTTGTCTTCTTGTTCATTTCACATTTTCTGTATTTGTTATATTTCGGGTGACTGATCATTCAGGGAACCGCACAATGGAGCAAAGGACAGTCTATTTTTACACACTACATAATATCTTAGTATGAACGTATTTGTCATGGGTCACTTGAAGCTCAAAATTGAGAGATGTACTCGGGTAGACATTGTGGGAAAGTTTAGCGCATGCAAGTCCGGGTATGGATGGGATCGACATGACAGCTGCATGCGATGTATCGTCGCAGGATTCTTCTTCCTTTACTTATTGTAAGTACTCTACTGCACTTTTCACATGTGAGCCGGGATGTAAATCGGGATTGCCGTGGTCCTATGGATGACGGAGTAAACCGGAATTCTTTCCCTGCTCTTCCAGTATTTCTAATCTACCTCTACACCAGCCATCTGATACATAAGACACAACATTAAATAACCAAAGAATGCCACCAGGACACTTAACATAACACTCAGTATAACCGCATCCCCTTCTATCAACTATATACAAAATCCCAGACCGGATTTCCATCCCATTCACCAGGAACAGAACAGACCTCACCACCATCCCCCCAAAACCCTACTAAGTACCTACTTACCTACAACTTCGCCCCCTTCCCACCACCACCACCACCAACAGCAGTATCATCACTCACAACCAACCTCTCCAACCCCCTCCTAACACCCTCCTCCATCCCCTCCCTCGTCGGCCTCATCGTCTCCCTCGCCACAAACACATGCGTATACCCCCCAACAACCTTGACCTCTTCCTCCCCTTCCTTAAACACCCCAACTTCATACGTCACGCTGCTATTCCCCAGCTTGGTGACCCGCAGCCCCAGGTCTAGTATATCTGGGAATGAGACGGAGGAGAAGTAGTCGCAGTAGGAGGAGACCATTATGCCTACTTGGCTGCTTTTGAATCCGGGTGTAGATGTGGTAGTGGTGGTGGAGGAAGAGGAGGGGTCAGGTGTAGTAAGCGTGGGGTTGTTGTGCGTGAAGGGATCCATTCCGCAGTGCGTGATTAAGTACGTGTTTATTATGCTGTCGAAGAGCATGGCGTAGACTGTGTTGTTGAGGTGGGCGTACATGTCGTTGTCGAACCTGTGTTTTTATCTGTTAGAGGTGATGGATTCGGTGGGGAGGGGGAGGGTGGTGGTGGTGGTGGCTCACCATCTTGTTCGGTGCGTTTGGTGGTAGATGTAGTCGCTTCGGAGACGGCGCTTTTTGTGTGCTATGGAGGTGGACATTTTGCGGTTGGTTTGTATGTACGCGTGTGTGTATAGGTGGAATGGGAGATATGTTGGATGGTTGGTGAAATTTAATGTTGTCTATATGGTAGATTGAGGGGATGGGATGGGTAGGTTGGAGCTACCGAGTTGAGCCGAGGCATAAGTCCTCCGCCCTGAGCTTGTTCCCACGGGGTGGGAGGGTCATCCGACGGCCGTTCGTTGGGCGGTCGCCCCTGGCGGGATTCTGCTTAGGTTTAAACAGTGTTTGGTGAAACAATTCTAACTTCAGGGATTTCAAGCATTGTTTGTTACTTTATACAGAGTTTTTACATTGTTTATTATATTGTATATTCATGCTATTGTATATTATTTTCCCTGATATTAATACAGTTCACTATGAACTTGTCAACCACGGATCTGTCAATAGTTCGCGGGCGCTCTGTCTCTCTTTTGGATCCCATCGAAGCATCTTCCTCATAAAGTTCATGAACATCTGCTTGTTCTCACCTTCTGGATACTCTTCTGAGTCATCCAATGAAATAGATGGGATTAATTCAGAAGCCTTCCATTGACCTATTATCGATTAGCTAGTGGATAGATAAATGTTGTAATGATGAAGATATACCTGACGAGTCCCAGTACTCCAGGCTGCGAGGTGATTTACGAAGAAACTCCACTTGTGGAGGCCCCAGCATCGCTACCATTTCAGCCAAGAGTTGCGCATCTGAATGGAAACCATCTGGTCCTCTGCCATCGAATAAGTGATGATCTTCGAAGAGATCCCAGATCTTGAGTCCCATATTAGCCAATGCCATATCGAAAAATATAGTAGAGAGCCAGATTCATGCTCACCAACACTCCTACATTCCATATATCAACCTTCGCTGTCCAACTCATCCCAAGAATGACTTCAGGTGCGCGATAAATATCCGGCTGGATCAATCCTTCGTGCACTTCCCCCAGACGAGCTTCTCCGAAATCCGTGAGCAGCGGCATCCCGAGGCCACTCCAGCCCTTCTTGCGACGGAACGGGCGTGACTGATAGACAGTGTACTCATTATCAACCTTGCGAGGACTCGGTTCATTAGTCTCGCCATCATCCCATTCCCGGAAGACTGATTCGTCTTTTGCAGCAATGATGATATTCTTCGCTTGGATATCTGAAGAGAACATTAGCCAGTTATAGGTGATGGCCTGCGACGGGTTACAGACCAGTATGTATTACATGCGCCTCTGAATGTAGATAATCAAGGGCCAGTAGAAGCTGCTGCAGTGCCCCTTTTAGTAGGTCTTCGGGAAGGCTCATTGAGTCCAAAGTTGCCTGGAAATGCAGGAGGCTTGTTAACAGAGGTTCGTAAACAATGCACTGATGTATGCCTTTGAGACTCGTAACTTCGAATTTCTCTATCAATTGGCGGACGAGACTGCTGCCGGGGTGCTGTGACTTTATTCGCGAAAGGTGCTCCAACACGCGTACTTCTTGGTTGCTCCTCGAGCTGCTGATTTGTATTTTCAGCGCTATATACCGGTGGTGTCTACCTAAGAAGTTAGCTACATATACAAAACCCGAGAAGAGTAGACTGATACTTACTGCAAGTCACGACAGAACCACACCGTTGAGTTTGCCCCAAAGCCCAGTTTGCTGATAACTTGGTACCTAGAATAAAATACATCACCAAGCTTCACTGGATAGTAGAGACCACGCTCATACGCAGGCATTCGTTCTTCCTCTATTTTCTTTGCAGAATCCAGAATGGGATAGCCAGAGGACATGGCTCTTCTTGGGAGAAATGGCAGTCGAGAGACTCGACTGATCCGAAGAAGGATCTTCATCGCAGAAAGGTAAAATTGTATATTTAAAGCTATGGATCATGAAGATGCCATAATAGCACAATAATCCTACAATCTAACCTATTGTTATTATTCCCAGGACTTTACTCGAAAGGGGGCCGCCGAGGTTCTGTTGCTTGCATTATATTGCCTCTTTCGGTAGTGATCTGCATAGAAAGTGATCGACACCTTGTGGATTAGGTGTCAAGCCTTTTGTGACTAATCTACTTTTGGTTTAGTGGCATGCTTTCCCATACTCAATATCGATGAAGGTGGTTCTCTTCCTTGAGATTGTCTGATATTCTTAAGCTTGCTGAGGTCACATACATGGGTTGCATTCTACACATCGCACTGTCTATGGAAATGAGTTGGGTAATCACCGCTCCATTGCAATAATGTCCTCATTTTCAAATGGTCCCGGGGTTATCGTTCCGGCACCCCAGCCCTTGAAGCCAGAAGACCGTGACGCAGCGCTGAGGCTCTTTGATAGTATCGTCGAGCAATTCGAACCTTCGCAGGCAACCGAGAAAGGCTTGAAACCAGTTTCTCTTATTCGACTGATGAAAGAGGAGGTTTCCGATAAAGATAGCTTTCTCAACCTCTTCTTCCCTTTCATTAAACGACATTTAGGTGGAGTCTCGAACGATGCAGAGCCCTCCATTGCTCACATTTTAACTCGTTTGGACAATTTCAGTACATGGACCACCTCGGACAAAAGTGCCCTTGGTGAAAGCCTGGTCATGTTCGCGAACTTTCTGATCGATAATTTCTTATTGCCCTGTATGTTGCTATGCACATGCTTGAGGTTAGTGGAACTAAAAATCGTTTAGTGAAAGCTTTGGCTGCGAAAACTCCTCAACCTACGCCAGCATCTCTTTCCCGTGCTCAGATCTCCGAAGCAGGAGTTGGTACGCCTCAGCGTATCTCCACTTTACGACGGGACTGTCTTTTGCGTGATCGTCATAGATGCGTCGTAACTCGAAAATTCGATATCCGAGAAGCTGAGGATCGATTAGCAAAAGACGGAACCGATCCCAAAGACGACGACGGAGGGTCATTGTTGCCGGAGAGCGATGCGATGGCCTTTCTGGAGGTAGCACATATCATCCCTCATTCCTTCATGCCACTCACCAGTATTGATGGGGAGCCAAAACTGGTGTGTAATCATCCAGATTCTCGCATTTTATCCATCACTTACAATCTATCTAGCCCGAGCACAAACAAACGGCCCATAAGATCTTGAATATGTTCAATCGCACTGCTATTCCTCTCATTAGTGGAACTGATATTGATCGACCTATGAATGCGCTCACTTTGACCCATGATCTTCACATGTTGTTTGGTAGATTTGAGATCTCGTTTGAGCATATTGGACCTCAGACCTACAAGATCGACTACGTAGAACGAGATCGCTTATTTCGAATTGTGAAGCTTCCTGTCACCCGAACGCTGTATCTCACTCCAGATAACAATATAGGCCCTCCATCTGTTGATCTTCTGAATATCCATTGTGCCATAGCGAAGATTCTTCATCTAAGTGCTGCGGGTGATTTCATTGACAAGTTTCTTAGGGACATGGAGGAGATGGAAGGCGGGCAGGTGATGTCAGATGGGACTAGTCGCATCGACGATTATGTGCGTTTCAAACTCGCCGCTAGACTTGATGGTGGCGAAGAAATGTCTGGTTGCCAGGAGTCTGCAAGGTTTTAGTCCCAGTTAAATAGCTGCACTTCATCATCATAGGAACCGACTTTTCAGTCATTGATGCTATATTCTTGGTAGTAATATATAATTCTCAATATGAATTACAATTGAACACAGGCGGTGTGTGATTGCTTGTATATTTACTATAATCAAAGTAAACATTTCTCTTTATACTCTGCTACAAACAGTACCCTAGTACTTGTACTCTCTATATTATATAGTCAGGAACATTAATAGCGAATTCTTATAGAAAATCATGCCTGTTGCGGGATGGAGAGTTTAGACGGGGAATTTCCCCGCATCGCCAAAATTTTCTTTTCTTTCGCCGCCACGGAACCAAATCAGGAACGGATCCCCTTCTCTCGTCCCCTGTCCTTTCAGCTTAGTACTTTCGCTTTCTATACTGCCATTCTTCTCACCCTCGCTATCCCTCCTGGCTCCCTCTCCTCGCATTACCGCGTACCTGCTGCGACGCGGCCGAATTCCCCCGCCCATTATGTCTCTCGTGCCCGTCGACACCACGCTGCAAGTCCCACCTCCTGACCCGGTTCAGGAGCCCCCTGAGGTGGCCATCACGCCCTGCGACCCATGGCCTGCACCATACTATCTTGAAGGCGGCCTGCGCCGGGTGAAGCCATACCACTACACCTACAACACTTTCTGCAAGGAGCGCTGGCGGGGTCGCGAATTGGTGGATATTTTCCTGTCGGAGTTTCGCGATCGTCCCGCAGAGTACTACGTATGCTCCCATCTCTTCGCTGTTTTGATCAGCCATAAGCTGATATAGAATGTCTGTTACTGCAGAAGAAAGCCCTACAAGATGGCCTCGTCGCCGTCAACGGCACGCCTGCTGGTCCCAACACCGTCGTCAAGAACGGCCAGATCATCTCGCATACCCTGCACCGTCACGAACCCCCAGTTACCGGGAAAGAGATTGGTATTATCCACGAGGATGACGATCTGATTGTCATTGATAAGCCTGCTGGTGTGCCCGTCCACTCCGCCGGTCGCTACCACTATAACTCTGTGCTCGAAATCATGCGCTCTCAACGCCATCCGGAATGGGTCCCACGACCCTGCAACCGTCTGGACCGACTCACCTCCGGAGTCATGTTCCTCGGAAAGACCCCGAAAGCTGCAGAAAACATGACCGGCAAGCTCAAGGCCCGCACCCTTCAGAAGGAGTATGTGGCGCGTGTCAAGGGAAAGTTCCCCGACGGTGTCATTGTCTGCGACCAGCCCATCATGTCCGTGAGCCCGAAGGTAGGCCTGAACCGTGTTCGCGCCACTGGCAAGGAGGCAAAGACCAAGTTCCGCCGTCTAGCGTATATCCCGCCTCAAGCTCCGGAGCCTCAGAGCGCCCCCGACGCAGAGGGACGGGTGGCGACTCCGCCTCCGGTCTACACCAACGAAGACGAAGGGTACAGTATCGTCCACTGCCTGCCCTTGACCGGCCGCACGCATCAGATCCGCGTGCACCTTCAGTTCCTCGGACACCCGATCTCGAACGATCCCATCTACTCCAACCGCAAAGTCTTTGGACCGGATCTCGGCAAGAACGAAACCAGCGACGAGCGCGACAACGAGCTTATCGATAAGCTATGTAACATTGGCAAGACCGAAGTCCCCGACACCGTAAGCTACCGGACACACCTTACCACTGTGCCTATGGTACCGCCAGGCACGGACAACTCCGTCGTGGAGGAGATCATGTCACGCGAACACGAAGCCGCCGTGGAGAGATACCACAAGCGCAAAGGCGAGATGTTGTCCGGCGAGAGGTGCAAGATCTGCGACACAGAGCTCTACTCGGACCCTAGACCCGAGGATCTAGGTATTTTCCTCCACGCCGCGGCATACTCTGACAAAGAGGAGGGCTGGAAATACACGAGCAAGATGCCTAGCTGGGCCCTGCCGCCGGACGGTGTGGAGGGACCGCGCGAGATGCCCGACTGGGTGTTTGGTCCTGAGGAAGAGGAGATCGTTATCGGACATGCTGTTTTGCCTGGCGCGGAGGACGGCTCGGAGACGAATATCCCTGCTCTTGTGCAGGGTGTTGGCCTCGTCGATATTTCGTCTGGTAGGAAGGCAGATGCTGCTGCGCAGGCGGCTGCATGATAAACACGTTGGTTACATGGTGCATGATTTGGCGTTACTTGCAATTGCAATTAGAGATTTTAGACATGTTGAGATGATGAACGACGGACTACATTTTGTCACATAGTTGGATTCGTTTACTTGATACCACCATAGACAAAGTTTCAGCTGCCACTTCAAATTGAACATATCATAGAACAAGCGTCATAGACAAACATAGTTCCATCTGCGGGGTAATACTACGCATATACAATGACAGCTTGCTTTGCTTGTCAAAAAGAACAAGGTCATTTACGTAGCTATAGTCTACATAATAGGATAAACCACCAAATGGGACCAATTACGAAGCTACAAAATACAACCCTCGGTCATCAAAAAAGTCTTCATAAGATTTAGATTTTTATTCCCAGACTGGCAGCACCAGCCACGATCACAAGCGCCCCATGACAAATGGAAAACGCTTGCAATCCAGCACATACGTCGTCAACGTCAGACACACACAAAGCCAAAGCCCACATTAGAGAGAAGATGCGATGATTCAAGGCTCCGCAAGTCCCCAAGATCACAAATTAACAAACAACCACCACGTAGTAGTAGTTGTCTGTTATGTTGCTTTTTTAATTGTCCCCCGAAAGTGGTTGGTTTTCCCATTTGGTTGGTATAAAGTGGAAAAAAGAGTTTTAATGAAAAATGAAAATGAAAATGATGAAATTTCTTGGGCTTTCTTTACATTCATTCCATATCCATTTAAGCCTCGGTGGTGACGCGGCCCTTGGGGTTGGTGACCTTGACGCCGAGAGCCTTGGCCTTGGCGATGATGTCGACGCGCTTGCGGGAGGAGACGGCGCTGGCGATCCTGTTCAATTTATTAGCATTTGGTTCTTGTAGATGTAGTCTGCCAAAGGCAGAGGTGTAGACGTACTCAGCGGCGTAGGTGCGGTTGTGCATCAACAGGAGCTCAACGTCCTTGGGGTTGTGGACGAGGAAAGCCTTGTGGCCGGAGGGCATCATGTGCTTGGTCTTCTTGTTGGATCCGTAGCCGATGGAGGGCATGGGGATGTTGCCACGGAAGCGTCTACGGACGCGGTTGTCGATACCCTTGGGCTTGCGCCATGACTCCGGCACGCACTTGAAGCGGTCGGACTGGTGGCGCCAGAAACGCTTGGTGCCTGGAAGGAGTTTGATGTTAGTCGGGTCGTTCGTCCTGACGACGTGTGTATGTGTGTTTTTAGTTCAATCCGGCTGTATGTCCGTGGTCCAGCAAGCACTTGTCAATTCATGTTGTTGGTGTGTGTAAATATCTTCGTCCAGATCGAATCGAAATTTCGGTCGCTTGTGATAATTTCTTCGCCGATCAAGTTCGTCGTTCGCCATCGTTCTTTCGCAATAAGAATATAGAAAAATTGATTTGTTCGCTCCGATCGTCTGATTTCTCATTCCATCGCATCGTATATATTCCTCATGCTTGCTGGACGACTGACAACTGACGGATCGTACTCTGGCTGGGAACTGGACTGGGCTGGGACTAGCAGGGAGAAAAGAAAGGACATACGCTTCTTGACGATGGGGACGTGCTTCTTTGCGAGGACCATCTGTTCTCAATTAGCATGCAACAGGCAAGCAGCTGGCAACAATATCACATACCTTGTCGTCGTCTCGCGGGCTGGCGCTGGGAGTTGTCGTACGGGTCGAAATCGATCTCGAAAATTCGCGCTCAGGTTTGGCCGCCCGAGAGAGTCGAGCTAGTGGCTCGCTTAGCGAGTCTAACTGCTCTCGGTGCGTTAGGGCTCATTACGCTTGCCCTGCATTTTGCCGGTACTGCTGACTCAGCAGACTTAGTGCGGTGGATAAGCTTGCCTTGTGCCATTCCATATCAGGAATAGCGTATATATGCTGTGATCTACTATGGACTTCCGCCTCCGCAGCACAGCAGCAGCACCGCCCCGTCGTATTCGTGATGCTTGTGTTCCATCTGTGCAATTGAGCAATTTAGTTACAAGTTCAATGCCTACAGTCATACATGAAACAGGCAGCTGACACTTATAGATTTGCCTTGTTCAACCGTGATGGCTTTCGGGGGACTGTCCCCTCTTTCCGCGAGGCTGCAATCTGTAGTACACAATGCCGGCGCTTGCCATCGGGCAGCGTTATCCATATAAGGGATGACTCCTCTTCCATGAACTTGGTGAGCAACACAAGGCGATTAACAAATAAATACCTTCATTGAGATTCTATCATTCCCTTCTTCTGTCAAACTAGCGGTTGCCCCCTTCAAGCTGCACCATGAGCTTCGGATATGGTGTCGGGGACTTCCTCGCTCTAGTGAAACTCGCCAAGGCCATCAGGGTGCGCTTTGTTAGTGCACCAGACCAATTCAGACATATTTCAGAAGCGTAAGGATCAATACCATGCACGTCTTTTCCGAGACTTATATGTCGCCAGTTCAAAGACCTTGTGCAATGTCCTCCGCGATATCAAAGACATCTACGAGCAAGCGGAGCTTGATACCCAGCAGGAGAAACACCTAGACGAAATCTCTCGCTCTTGCCGTAGTGGACTGAATGAACTACTCAGCAAATTAGACGAATACCAGGAGTTGGACCTTCGCACTAACAGCCTAGGGGGCACCTGTCGTCGCGTCTGGAAAAGACTCAAATGGGACCAAGCTGAGATGGATGAGATTTGTCAGAGGATACAGTCCAATGTTCAAATATTTAATCTCTTCAGTACTAGTCTGACTAGGTATGGATTCATAATAGCTCAGGAAGGCGAGTGCTCACAAATTCCGAAAATAGTCAAGTAGCCTTTACTACAAAAGAGCTCGTTCACCGAGTTAACAACACCATGGAAGACAAAGCTCAGCATAAACTCCTTGAATGGCTTACGACCGTCAACTATGCAACTCAGCAAGGTGAATATTTCAAACGTCGGCAAGAGGGCACCGGTAAGTGGCTACTAGGCACAGACAAGTTTCAGCAGTGGATTAACAACGAAAATAAAAACATCCTGTGCACGGGCATACCTGGAGCTGGAAAGACAATGCTTACTGCTATTGTCATCAAACATCTTGAAGAGAAGTGTGAACACGACCGAAGTGTTGGTCTCGCCTACATATACTGCAACTTTCGGCGCCACCATGAGCAGAGTGTGGACAATATACTTGCGAGTCTGATAAAGCAATTGTGTCAAAGAATGTCGTTCCTTCCCGAGGATATAAAGACCCTATATGCGCAACACAAGAAACGTCAGACACGGCCGGAACTCGACGAACTTTTCGAGAGCCTATCCGTTCTGCTTGGTCACTTCTCGAAGATCTTCATAGTGGTGGATGCCCTTGATGAATATTCATCTAGGGATGAAGCGCTACGCAGGCTGTTATCCAAGTTATTTCGTCTGCAGAGCAACAGCACAGTTAGCATATTCGCTACGTCACGGCATAGCCCGGTCATCCAGTCGGCATTCGATGGTTGCTTACAGCAAGAAATTTTTGCTGCCGCTGAAGATGTAGAGGCGTATCTGCGAGATCACATGTCCGATCTGTCAAGGGTCGTGCTAGGAAACAATAAGCTACAGGACGAAATAGTTGAAGCAATTATGAAAACAGTGGATGGAATGTATGTTCCACCATGTGTCTCATTAAGAAAATCCGCTCTTGCACTGACATTCATAGGTTTCTTCTTGCCCAACTCCACCTTGACTCATTGAGAGGAAAACTCTCGGTAACGGCGGTTAAGAAAACACTAGAGAAATTGCCAACTGGAACTGACGCGTACGATGTTGCATATGAAGAAGCCATGGAGCGGATAAATGGGAAGACGGCGGGAGAAAGAGAGTTGGCATTTCAGATTCTTGCATGGATCACCTGCGCTCGGGTGCCGCTGAAGATAGAACAGCTTCAATATGGCCTTGCAGTCGAGCCCGACGAGGCAGAGTTTGATCCTGATAATCTTCCTGACGCGCAAGACATGGTCGCTATTTGTGCTGGCTTGGTAACTATAGACGAAAATTGTCGTATCATACGCTTAGTCCATCATACCGCACAGGAGTATCTCGAGAGATCCCAGACAAAGTGGTTTCCCCGAGCGCACTATGACATGGCAAGAGCCTGCATGGCATACTTGCTGCATTCCGTTCAGTCACGAGCAGACTTACTCCTGGAAGATATGCATTTTTCTGGCTACTGTACTCAAAATTGGGGCTATCATTTTCAGCTTGCTCTTGCAGAACCCGGATTGGTACACAGCCTTCTCCGAGACAAGAAGAAGGTCTGGAATTGTGCTCAAGCCTTAATGACGTCACGGGGCGAGATAGATGTTATTGAACGGCACGAGCAGATGCCAGAAACGGTGACAGAAGCTCACTTGGTTGCATATCTTGGGCCAGAAAGTGCGCTGAGGGAGCTGATAAAAGCCGGATATCCCTATGATGCTCTTGATGCTACCAACAGATCTCCACTATTTTGGGCAGCAGAGAATGGCCAGGAGGGGGCAGCCAGAGTTTTGATCGAACAAGGACTCGTTCCAGATCAACAAGACCAGTGGGGATTTACTCCCCTTGCGCTAGCAGCAAAATATGGCCATTTCGAGGTTGTGAAGTTACTCTTGGACAATGGAGATAGTCCAGATTTAAGGAGCAACGATGGCCGAACCCCTTTGATGCTATGTTGTGAAAAAGGCCATAACTATGGCATCGCTTGCAATAAATTTCGAATTGGTCAACTTGAATGTCACGATAGGGTAGTCGCACTTTTGCTCGAGGCAAATTGTGACCCTAATATAAAAGATGAATATGGCTTGTCCGCGTCCGACTACGCTGTTGCTAGAGGACGCATGCGACTCATTAAACTAATAAAATTATACTCGTCAAGGAAGCTGATCCTTAATGGTAAAGGATAATGCAGGTAAGATACCGCTCTTCAACGCAGGCAGATACGGGGATTCGCTTGCTGTCTCATCATTGCTCAAGCAATCGTTTGGTGTCAACCACATGAGTGTATCAGTCTGGAGGGATGATTCTCTTATCAAGGATAATGCAGGTCATACACCGCTATTCAACGCAGCCAAATATGGGGGTGCGGTTGTTGTTCAAACGTTGCTCACCCATGGGTTCTATCCAAACCACATGAATGATTCCGGCGTGACTTCGTTGTTGTCCGCTTCCTACCCCAAGCTTTATGATGTTGTTAGGGTACTATTAGACAATGGGCTTGTCCAAGTGTGATGACTGAACATCAGGGCATGACACCATTGCTCTATGCAATTTAGGGAGACCATCACTCCATGTTCATGTCGCTATTAGACCATGGCGCTGATTCTAACCTCACTGATCAAAAGATTGGTCGACCTCCTTTGGTATGGGCAGCGCAGAGAGATCTTGCTTCGATGGTGGAAGCATTGTTGAGCAGAAGGGTTGACGCAGACAGCCAGGACCGTGACGGTTGGACTGCTCTTTCGTATGCGACTTCTACACCGTTGGATCACAAGGAGTCAGGAGATGAAGTCCTAGTTAAGCAAATCCTTGAGTCTGGGAGTAATCCAAAAGCTCACGGTACACACATCAAGGGATCCTTGGCGGCGACCACACGCCGTGATTACGAGGGCGTTGTGGAACTACTTTTGCAGTATCAGGCGATCTCAGACGCGGTTAACAGGAGAGGATGGTCACCATTGATGGCCGCAGCAGCAACAGGACGCGGGAATACAGTTCGATTACTGCTCGATACGGGAAATGTAAACCCCAGGCGCCAGGATGAGTATGGCCACGATGCGGCCCACTACGCACGAAAATATGGGCACGACCAAATCGCGCTACTTCTCTCGAGTCCTATAATGGAGACCAACGTGGCCATCAAGGAATCTGTGTGCACCGCAGACCAGCCGGAGAACGCTACTCTCATTGCTTCTCGTGCAACATAACCACAAGAAACGGGAAGTCACCTGTCAAATTGTAGCATCATTTCACATATCTGTGAGGATGCCCTATATCATCGGTTCCGTTATTTGGATAGGCCAATCAGTCAGGACATCAAATTGTAGATTTCTGAATTTATGTTTATTGGACAGTTAAATTGAACATCTGAGTAAATCTAAGAAGCCACTACCACCCCAAGCCAATCCATCACTGCAAATCCAACAGCACCTTCCCACCCTCACTCACAAACATTCCCTCCATAACCTCCAAATCAGCCAAAGCCTCCTCCGGCCGCAGCCTCTCCTCCAACTGTCCCTTCAATATCGACTCCCCAAACGCAGCCACCTCATAATTCACCCCGCGTCCCTCATACGGCACCTCAAACGACTCCCCACCACTAACCGTCACCGTATCCCGATCCAACTTGACCACACCCCGCTCACAACTAAACTCAAAGACCGTCTCATTCACAGCAGCCCCATACGACAACGACACCACCCCATTCGCCCCAGACTTAGTCTTGACCACCGCATCGAGCGTATCCACCGGCGCCAGATGCTCCCTCTGCAATCCCATCATAGCCGACACAGCCGCCATAGCGTCCTCTTTACCAAGAATGAGTCTCAATCCAGCAATGGCGTGGACCCCTCCATCGAGGACAAAACCGCCCTTGTATGTGGGTTTGCGACGCCATTCGGTTTCTGCGACAGTATTAGCTTACCCACACCCTCCTTAATGAAGAAAAAAGTAGAAGAAAAAGAATAAATAACGTACGATGATACTTCGACCCCTCCCCAATCAACGTCCTCACACCAACCCTAAAAGCCCTCACACTCCCCAACTTCCGAACTTCCTCAGCTACCCGGGTGAACTTCCCCAAGAAGCGCCAGTTCTCCGCTACGCCCCAGAGCGGCTTCGTCGCGAGAGCCTGGTACTCTGAGAGGAGAGCCCGGGCGGTGTTAAGATCTCCCGCGATGGGCTTCTCGCTTAGGACGTGCTTGCCCGCTTGTAGAGCTGCGCGGATGTAGCTTGGTTGGGCGGGGATGGGGAGACTGTTTTCCATTTAGCATAAGTTTATCATCGTGATAAATGCTATCTTATCTATCTCCAATGATGATATTCGTCATATGGGAATTGGGGAAGGGGACATCTCACGCAATAACAACAGCCCGCACATCCTCCCTGTCGAGGAGATCCTGAAACCGTCTACCTGCTTCGGAATCCTCGGAATATAATTCCACGTTCTTCATCACGACATCATCTCCCTTGTTCCCTGAGATGAGGGACTCTGCGGATTTGAGGCTCCGGGAGTAGATGGCTTTGAGGGTGAAGAGGGGGGAGGTGGATAGGATGGGCTTGTATTCCCTGTTAGTATTTGTTATATGGAAATAAAGGGAGAGGGGGGTATGTGGTACCAGGTGTTCTTCTTTGGCGAAGATACCTATTCCATTATTAGATCCTTGTGAAATGGGGATTGATACTCGGGATAGGTGAGGGAGGGGTGGGTACCGCTGCCGATAATGGCTACGCCGATGGGGGTGGACATTTTGATAGTGTGCGTAATGAAGTCAATGATAATAATAGTTATAACGACAGGGAAGAAGGAATTATTTATATAGGAGTAGATAGCTGGGGATTGGGAGGTGAAAGGGTCTATCGATATTATTAATATAATTCGCTATAGGAAATAAAATGTGGGGACGTGCGAGGCCCTCAGACTAATGGCGTTTAGTCCCGGAGTGTGGATGGCGGGGTTCGGTGGATATTCATTTCCTGCCTTCATTTCATTTATTCATTACTGTGTAGACTATTGTTCAAAAAAAGTGTTATAGAAGAGTCAAATGTGTACCATGCTATATTAATATCCTCCATTAATGCAATAATTCAGACGCTGCGCCGTAAATGCTATCGTCACTCTCATAAGTACGCCTCATCCCGTCAGGTCATGCATCTCATGCCAACCATAACATGGCTTTCGCCAAACCAAAACACCGGGGTATATGATAAAAAGCAAGCGATAATGAAGAGCGAGGAAAAGCAACCGAAACTGATACCTCCTATCTATCCGACCATCGCTCGGATCCGCTCCACGCGTGCCATCGCTTTCTCTAAGCGCTCCAGTCGAGCGCGCTTCTCGACATCTCGACGTTCCAGTACCGCGACACGCTCTTCGAGCCGAGCTCGTGCCTTGCGTTCCTGCGCGACCATCTCGTTCGCCTGGCTGAACAGCTGCGCTGTCAGTTCCTCCAGTTCCGTGCTCGCCTGCGACAACTGGCTCTCTGCGGCTTTACGTAGACTCTGCTCCCGATTCAACGCATTTTGTAACTCCACTGTCTCCTCCTGGGTGGTTGTCGGCTGTACGGGCTCCGGTGGTGGAGGCGAAGCAACTGGCTGAGCCTGGGTGGTACTGGTAGCACTCGGTCGACGGGAGGGGAGGAAAGAGGCAAGAGTAGAAAGTCGGCCCGGTTGCGATTTCGGGGATGTTTGTAGGTGAGTAGGTGATTGGGACCGGTCGATTTGCGTCGATGCGGTGGATGACACGGATGTGTTGTTTCGGGATGACGGTTGCGCACGCAGTCGTCGGATTTCTTCTTCGTATGCGGCCAGTTTCTCGGCTGTTGAAGAATGGCTTCCATTAGTACACTATCAAGGTATAGTTTGGGGATTGTGTATCTCACCCATTTGCATTGCTTGCAGGTTCAGAGCGTTGACTTGGCCTTCAAGGTCCTTCGCTCGACGTCGGGTATCATTAGTGGACTGTCCAGCCGCGAGAAATCCGTCCTGGCCGCAAGTTGGACAGGCCTTTCCGGAGACGAGAGCGGCAGCGCCCGCCATAGAGGGCAGCGTGCCGATGAGCGTGGTGGACGTTAGAGCGGTGGTAGTGGTGGTGGTCGACATTGTTTGTGCCACATGAGGTGAAAGTGAGGATCAAGTTCGATCGTGTACAATGCACAATCAATTGTAGGGAAGGCAACGTCAGCGGATCGGAGGTGAAACTGAGCGGCGGGAGGCTGAAATGAAAGGATGCCGGACCAGTGTCGCAGAAAGCGGCAGAGAGACAATAAATAGGAGGCCAAGCTGCTTAAGGGACGCTCATGCAGTGGTGTAGTGAGGCAAGGGAAGGTGGTTGGAAGAGAAGATGTCGGTAGCCAGCCTGCTCAAACAAGAAAGCGAGAGAGCGTGCAGAGGCAGAGGGAATGAGGCCGGTGAGAGGAAAGAAGTCAGCACAGGCAGTAAGTCAGTAAGTAGTAAGACGGGGAAGATTAAATTGATTAAACTGGGAATTGAATGCATTAATTGTCCCTGCGGCGGGAAGCGGTGGGGAGCCGCCGGTCTTTCCCTCTCCAGAACAGCAGAAGGAATGCATCTTCTCCTTCCTCTGCTGCGCTGGCAGTCACCCAAGTACTACTACGTACTATCGTTGGGGAGACCGTGTAACTGCCAATGGATGTGATCATCATATCACTGGCATTGAACTGCCTATCACCAACAATGTTGCTCCTTCTGTGAACCCTTGGAGACGCCGTGGAATCCTGTTGGATCCGCGCGCGAGGCAACACGTGTGGACCGCGCCGTTGAGACCCGCTGGCTAGTGAGTTGCTGTTGGTGACTCGTCATTTGCCTGTCTGGTTGATCTGCCAGTTGCATCTCATGCCCGTGACAGTTCCTAAAGCTGACCTGCTTGGTCTGTCTCGTACAAAGGTCCGACAGACAGGCGCTTGATACACCGACTGGGAGGCGTGCTGCGAAAGGCATCGACTCCATTCCAGCCTCCTGGCCAACCGCCCTGGATGCCATCGCGTCTCTTATCGCTAGGGTAACACCAGCCATGAGATAATTGATAAACCCTGCAGCCTTGATAAAGATCGGGTCCCTTGCTGGTCCGGGAGATCTGCAACCTTAACCTATCTAGAAAGGAGATGTGCGCTGAGGAATCACCGATCTTGTCTCCCTTGCAGACCTCCCGGCTTCATTATACCCTCCCGACCGGAAGATCTTATATCAACATTTTGATTTCGAATCCACATCTCATCTCCACCCCTTTTAATCCATCAATCGTTACTTATCGTTCATACTCATCATCACAGCCTTAGCATCGTAACTCATCAATCTACGTCCAACGTTACTTCTTCTCCCTCCCCGGCAGAACCCTTCGATCCGAGAGCGCGATAACCACGGAAATGCCTCCGCTGACTGCCCCCAACACCGTCACCATTGTCGTCCAGCCGGCTCGTTCGACTAGCAGACCCGCTACCAAGGGCCCCAGTACCTGCCCGCCCGACCAGGCCACATTGAAAAGCCCGTACGCCTGCGCAGTTCCTCCTTGATGTCCGAAGATACCGGGAAATTCCCGCTCGTACCGCTCCGTGACGTTGTTGACCTCCGTCATCAGAGACACCATCTGCAGGGTAGAGGCGACACCTGCGAGGAAGAGGAATACATAGAGAAGAACTTGGTCCTGGGTCGTGTTGCGTGCGACAAGCTGGAAGAGCAACAATGTTGGAAAATCGAGCAAGAAGCCGACAAAGGCTACTCGAGGTGCTCCCCAACGGTCCACTGCATCGCCTGCAATCATTGGTTAGCAGAGCCAGAGGGCATAGAGATCGTCTGATACATACCAATCCATGGGGAGAGGAAAGAAGGTGCAAAGAGCGGTAGGAAACACAGCCCGATTTCGAATGATCCCCAGCCGAACGTTTTCATGACATACAGTGGGAGCACCTGACCTCGTTAACTTCATCTTTGAAAATATGGGATGTGCACATACCGTATCAAAAGCGGACCAGATGATGGCATCCACTACCGTCGCTAAAAGAACGACGAGTAACTTGCCGGAAAATATCAAGCGGACAATCCCAGGTACAGAGGTCGACCTCCCGCTGGTCAGCGGCTCGCCGCTGCCCTCGGTTGGACACTCATCAGCGATGCCAGGTGTCTGGCCTGCGCTAGCGTTCGCCGTAATTGCATTGTACCCAGCGCTGTGCGCACCCTCTTCGTTCAGCAGACCTTGTGTCTCTCCATCACTGCTCGACTGAATCCATTGCGCAGCATTCTTCGGTTCGACCATCACAAGCCGAAGACAGATATCCAGCACTATCAACCCAATTGCCAATACGAACACTGCATGATAGCCCACTCGCGACAGCCTGAATCATTAGTAAATCGCCTTTCAAGCTTCCAATGCGACAAACAATGAACTCACATGATCCCCCCGATGAATGGGCCAAATACCGTCCCCACGGTCAGTGCCATCGAGACATATCCCATTGCAGCTCCCACCTGATCCTTGCCCACTGTATCGACGACCAGAGCCAGACCAACAGTCCAGACCACAGCAGCTGACAACCCTTGGAGACTGCGCGCAATGACCAAGGACGACACTGTTTCTGCGAACCAGAACACGATAGTCGTCCCGGCGAGCGCGAGTAGTCCAATGAGGAAAGGTAGCTGGCGCGATGAGCTTCTGTCCGCGAAGTAACCGAATATTGCTAGCAACTTCGTGTTAATTGCGCTCATTTCGTTAAGTAAGGAAATGACACCTACGGGATCCGAAGAATATACCACCGCCAAAGGCAGCCAGCATGATTGACATCCATTTTTGCACTGTGGATGATTAGCCTGTTGTCTTACAATCTCTGATACAGAGACATCCTACACACATCTTCCGGTACGATCACGCGTGTTTTGAGCACAATTGGCAAGATGGGTACAATCTATACTGGTTAGACGAAGCTCCGAGCCGATCCGAGGTTGGTGTGCAGTTACCATTCCATATATGAAGACGTCCTATGTTCGATCACGACATCAGCACCAAAATCGATTCATCATCACAAGGATTTAATACCGTGAAGACCGCAATAGCCACAACAGAAATCACAAATGCCCTGGAGGAGCGAAAAGCAAGCTTCCAGGGCGCAGAGCCCGTAGAAGGCGGATCAGAAAGGAATTCAGCTGGATACATCCTGACACTGACACAGAGAGGAGTGTTACTGAGAGAAGGATCGTGAGGGGAAGAGGAGGGATATGTGCGAAAGAAAAAAGAAAAACCAGAGCCCGTCAGTCGGTCGGTCAAGAGCTCTAGTTCAGATACAGACAGTAGTATGATATGTGGGGTAGGGTAGCGGGATAGTAATCAGATGGTAGCAATCGTAGTCTAGCTAGTCGCAGTCTCGTCGCGTCTAAATGCGATAGATAAAAATAAAACCAGATAGATAGACAAGACAGATTAGCAGATAGATAAAGACCAACTTACGTAGTAATCAAGCTCTAGCTCAAGAAACTACGGGAATACTTGCCTTTATTTCCTCCCTCCACCCCCCTCATAATCTCTCTCTCTCTCTGACAGACGGACAGACAGACAAACCAGCGGATCATAATCCGCGGGGACCCGACTTCCTATTCGGGATGGGGGCTGGGAGCGAAGAACTCACTCACCAATGAATTAAATTGATGGTCTGACTGAACTAAGTTTCTTACTCACTCTTACTCACTCACGTTCTTCAGCTGCTACTACTACTTACTAGGTACTGCTACTAGTTGGGTCGCCATGCATCCCGTCGATCGTCTCGATCGAATTAGGTTTGGTTTTCCCTTCAGCTTCTTCTCCGCGCGTGCTTGCTGCCTTGATGGAGGGAGGGAGGGGGAAAGCGATTGGTTGTGCATTTATTTGCTTTTGATGAGTTCTTTCTTTTCTTGGGAGAATTGTCAAGGATGGGGGAGGGGTTTAATGAGTTTTATATCAGTATGTGTTTTGTTAGTGGGTTCAGTTTGGTTTCAATATATATATTTAGTCGCATAGTAGTCGATCTTGAGGAGCGCACTCTCGCACATTTAGCAGAGATGATTGTCATTCATTTACTGACTTGACTACGAGATAGCACAATGCATACTACAGCTACTAGGTCTTATAAACTGCTAATCGTTATCTTATTCGTATGGGGGAACTGCCTCGTGTCAACTAGTAGTAGGGACATGCATGGGGGCTCTCCGGTTAGGGTGAACAAGAAGGGAACAAGACTCCACACGCCATCCCCGGATCCAGAAGCAAGACAGAGTTTAAAAAGGAAAGAGAGTTTGGAGAGTGGAGTAAGAATAGCAACTGTCTGGCAGCAAAAAAGGGGTTGGGCAAATTAATTTCGGAGGCGAATGGAGGGTCGGTCGGGGTTTTGATCAGCAAGTTCAGAAAGCATAAGATAACAAGTGAAAAGAAACGTATACTCTTCTTCCTTCGCATCAGCCATAAGGGTCATTGCTGTATAACACTTCATCCACGTACATGGGAATAACTAGCTCAGAGAAACGTGAAGAACACACACTAGGAAATTTGGAGAAAAGAACAAACTTTTCGACATGCTTGACGGAAGAAACAAGGGGACTAGACCTGAATCCTAGATCTAGACGGAGGCGGCAACCCGTAGGAAGAGAGAAAGGAGAAAGCGAAAGAAGTTGAGGACGACTCTGAACAACATCAAAACAAACGGACATCGACGTTAACCAAAATCCACCTGGCCATCTCCACGAGTGTTGCGCAGCAATTCAGCGACCTAACGAGGGCCAGAAGCAAAGTCTGGTCGCTTTATGACACGCACTTCGGGGACCATGGCGCACGGTTTTCGGTCAAGCGATGACGAGCTTGGGGGGTATCCATTGATCTATGCAAACGTGCGGCCGCCACGGCGGTTGTTGCGCTGCTTCGAGCTCACGGTGCTCCAGCCCTCGTCGTCGGCTCCAGCCTCGGCAGGCCCAGCCCTCCAGTTGCCGTTCGCCTTGCTGGCGGGAGCGTCGGTCGAGGCTTCGGCCTTCTTGGCAGCAGCCTCCTCGCTCTGATCCTGATCGGCAGTCATACCGCTCTCGTCCTCACCGGCCCGCCGGAGGATCTCGAAGTTCGTGCCACCCTGGGCGTGCTCGGCGACATCGCGGCCGTTGGGATCAGCCGGCGCACCGGTCTTCTCAGCCTTGGGCTGCTCCTTGGCAGGACGCTGCTTTTCGGTCTTCTCGGACTTCTCAGGCTTCTCGGCCTTGGCCTTCTCGTCCGCTTCCTTCTTTTGGCGGATGGCAATCTGGCGACGTTCCTCAACCTCCTTCTCGCGAGCGGCAGTGTCAATCGGGCGAGCACCACCGAACGGGCTAGCCTTGGACTCGGTGTTGGCGGTGGGGCTGGAGACGGCCTCAGTCACAGTCCGTTTTTGGAGGTTCAAGCGAGGGCGAGTAGCGGGGGCGGCAGGAGCGGCAGCAGGAGAGGGAGGGTTGCTGGCCTCCTTGGCGGGCTGATCGGGGCGCATCTTGGATCTCCATGCGTTATCAAGTTCAGCAGCGGTGGGGGTGCGTTCTTGGAATTCGCGTCTCGGGGGGCGGGAGCCATCCTGGGAGCGTCCCTCACCCCAGGCGGGGGAGCTTCTTCTGAAACCAGGTGCTTCGTTGCTGCGGGGACGGCCACCTTCGCGGACAGGTGCAGGCGGGGGAGAGAGAGGGCCCTTGCGTTCCCAGTTGCTGAAATCACGGAACTTTCCATCACTCTCAAAGTTGCTGCGGCGGCCACTACCGCGGTCGCTGCCGGCATCAGACATGTTGTCGAGGTTGCGTCCGAAAGAGGAGCGATCGGGCACACGGCGCTGGGGAATATCGGGCAGAGGGCCTCTGCGGGTCCAGTCAAACTCCTTGACATCACGTTCCTTGGCTATAGGTACCGTCAGCTGGCGCAAATCATCATACCTGAGAAAGGACACCTACGAGGTTCGGCAATGCTGGTGCGGATGGAACGTCCCTGGAGGGTAGCGCCGGAAAGATCAAGAGCCTTCTTCAGACCATCAACAGTCTCAAATTCGACATATCCGAAGCCTTTGGGGGCCTTGGTCAACTTGTCCTCCACGATACGGACGTTGGTAACACCACAGTCGGCAAAGAGGTCGGAGATATCGGCAGCAGTCGCATCAAAGGACAGGTTTCCAACATGGGCAGTGTAGGGGGGCTGGGTCGGAAGAGGAAGGGGCTCTCTCACGGCGTAGCCACCACGCTCACGCTCTGGTACTTTCCATCAGCATCAAACACATATATCGGAGCAAAAATGCAGCAATAACACAGGGGCGAGTTCCGTACCACCACCAAAGCTGCTTCCGAAGCCAGAAGAAGGCGCAGCAGAGCGACCAAAGCTGGACGGAGCGGGAGCTGATATAAGTTTAGCATCGATCGGATCGAAGGAAGAAATATCATGTACAACGTACCGGCTAGAAAGGCATCAATATTAGCAGGGAGCGATAAACCAAAGGCAAGGAATCCGTCACTTACAAGGCAAAGGCATGTCTTCCATCTCGTCGGCCCAAGAACCGAAGTCTGTTCCTGTTAGCCACCGTTCATCCCCGCGACGATATGGATGCACAGGGACATACTCTCATCGGCCAAGAAGTTGCCCAGAGACATCTTCTGGGCTTTCTGCTTAGAGGGCGCTGTACGTAGAATAAAGCCATTAGTATCCAGGACCATTCAGAGGATGCGAAATTGACGTAAATTGGGACAGTGCGCCGGACGAGGAGGGGTTAAACGTACCCATGATTGCGGTTGTTCAGAAGTGGGAAACGCGCCAAGGGGATTCCTGTGCGCGTCTCAGAATAAAGGTTCTTCTAAATGATTTAAAGGGGGGGCTTCCGACGGGGAAGAAATCACGAGAGTGATAGTGGACGTCCAAAGGGGCGTTGAGTGATGGGGGGAATGCAGGACAGCTCCGCAGTGAAGGACAGAGGGGGAAAGTAGGTTAATCCGTGAGGATAAATTTTAGTGATGACGCTAGAAAAGTCAGCCTCAAAAAAGTGTTGGTGCGGCTTTGGGTCGGCCGCCTCGACCCAACCCGAGGGCTTTTTTCCACCTTTTTTCCCTCGCCTTTTTGCGGAGAAAGTGTGTCTCTCTCCTTCCGCCCCTCTTTCTCCTCTCCACCCGGTGTCTTTTTTCGGTCGGATTCGATGAGATAATGAGTATAAGTGACTGTGGACTGTCAAACTCGTCTCCCTTTTCTGGTCCCTTGTCACTACTACTATTGTTATGGTGGTGAATATTGTTTGTTCATCGGTTCTCCGCTTGAATAGGCCCCATTCCGCTTTGGGCCAGACATTCTTGTCTTCATTGTCTGCGCGGTTGGTTCCATTCTAGGAACGGCACTTAACCGACACGCAGACATCACTTGCAATCACTACCTTTCTCTCACTGCTTTTTCCAGGTTACTAATATATTGGACTAACTTCATCGTGCACTGCTATGATACACAACGGTGATTCATTTTCTGTCTGCGAATGTCTTCCGGGCCGTTCCTCACCCAGACTCGCAACCGCCCAGCAAAAAGGCATTGCTACTAATGGAGCTAGTTACCATTCACCTCCGAAGCCTGTGACCCCCACGCCATCCCAAAATACATCTCCACGTCAAGGTGGTGACTAGGAATACGGAAGACAATATACACAGACTGGAAGTACAGTACAAAATTATTGCTCAGCGCTGTTCAGGTACTATTCCGTATGTTCGGGTGTGTCGTTGATTGTCGATTTCCCAACAGTCGTTCGTGTCTACAACGAAACAAAGTACGACTGAAGACAACTAGTTTTCGAGAAACGCTGTCGGCTTCAACTCAAACACTACCCATCTGTCCATCCGAAGGAAGCGTCTTCGGTGATATTCTACACTGGTTGAAGACACACCAATGCCAACTTCCACTCGAAGGACTTGCCCACTTACAAGGTCCTTCAACCCTTGGATATTCCTTGTCACGGTTCTATACGACGGTACCGGCAGCGGCTACGTGTTTGGACATAAGGATCTAGTCACATGGTTGGGATTGTGCGCCTAGTGTACAGCGAGGATAACATGGAGTTTGAGAACGTATACAGTTGGCAAGTGAAGGGTGATGAGCGACTGTTGATCTGAAATGGCTCATACGCCATTCTCGGGGCTAAGGACATATCTTGCTCTTCATCAGCCCGGTTGATGCACGTCTTTGGCATCCTCACGCTGCACATGGACGCTAATGTAGGTTCCAAATGTAGACAAGCGTCCAAGAGAAGATGCAAACCAGGCTGCGCGCAGTAGATACAGTCTCAGAACTAATTAAGAAGGGCGCAATATTCCGTGGCTCTGCTCGAGAGACTTCCCGTGTGGCTTGTTCATGAAGCCTCGCGAAGCCTGCATTAGTCCAACCAGCCAAATCTTCTATTTGTTATAAATGCAATGGCCAACGCACAGCCCCCGCTGCTCTTCAGAGGAACTGCAAGGGCCTCTTAACATCTTTGATCCAGTCAACACGCCAGCTACTTGTACAACCTGAGCGACCCGCACTCCACTCCCCATGCGTCCCGCAGCGGGGAGTCAGGATCTGCGGGCCGCCAAATACCCTGTCAGTCTATGCATACATGGCGGAAGTCGATCTCATGCCTTATCGGTTCAAGAAGAGTGAATACCATAGCATGAACAAGTATTGCTGTAGTACTAGTATAACGTGACAACGATAAGTGTTATGATATATATCGTAGTTGTTGTCGAAGATTCAATCATGCGCACTATTTTCGAAGACTGTAGTAATGTATTGAATGGAGTAATCTACTCCGGGTGGTCTTCAAACGACGTTGAAATCATGTGAACTTGAAAACGGGCGAATCCTGATATATTGCTACAGATGGATTGAGAATACTGAAGCCATAGGGATATAAATGGAGTGGTCACAAATTGTTGATTGCATTTACTCGGTGGACCCGCTTTGATGGCGGGAAGATCAAGGCACCGACCCGCTGCCGTCAGGCACACAAACACACCACCGTCTGTCGTTGACATCATTCAGGGTCTCGGATTTTGTCGGGGTTTGGAATTTGATGTTGCTCGGTCTTTGGGACTGCACTTTGTATATCATTGCAGTCCTCCTCTCTACCATATCCCCGATCTGGTCTCCCTAGTTCGGGGTCGATAGTCTATCGACTGATCTCGTCCAACGAATCATGCTCCTCTGAGGCAATTGCTTTGTCCCTGGGTCCACAGTGATCTTTCGCCTTATGCGAGATGGAGTACACTCCTGATTTCTCGGCCTATTTAAGGCGTGAAGCCCCAATGTACTTCCTGAGTGCTTCTCGTCCATTTTTGCTTTCTTCGTTTCCATCTTGACAAAGGAGTGCTTCTTTAAACAAAGGATGACTATCATCCAGCGCACAATCCCCAAGGCGATCAAGGTTGCTGGAGTGGCTGGCTTTGCAGGCCTGGGCATATATTGCACGAAGCAGTTCTCAACAGCGTTTGCGGAATCGAACGAGCCAAAACCAGTCTTCTCTGGGCTGGGTTTCACCACTTTGCGCTTGCAGAGCACCAAAACCGTCAATCACAATACGAAGCGACTAGTCTTCGAATACCCTAACGAATCCGCCCGCAGCGGCCTGACATTGACTTGTAAGACTTGCCCCTTGAAGGACGGTCTCTATCGTCAGGATAACCCGCTAACATTCAACAGCCGCGCTCCTAGCCATCACCCATCCGGAAGGGAGCTGGCTTCCTACGATTCGACCATATACTCCTATAAGTGACTTGGGTGAGCTCATACCGTGTCCGACTCAACACGCCCTGAACGCCTAGACACGGTCCATCTATCATAGAGATGGGACATGCGTGTGGTCAGGGATAGGCCTATCATGGACCATGTTTGTTAAGTAACATCAAATACACAGATGAACCAGGACGTATAGAACTTATGGTCAAGCAATACCCGGACGGGAAGGCTAGTGGCTACTTGCACTCCTTGAAACCAGGAGACTCACTCAGGTTTGCGACTTCACTGAAAGGCTATCAGTGGAAGCAGAATGAGTTCTCCCACGCCTACCTCTTGGCTGGCGGGGCTGGAATCACGCCTATCTATCAGCTTATCAAAGGCATCCTGAAGAATCCTCAGGACAGAACGAAACTGACTTTGGTCTTTGGGGTCAACTCCGAGGAAGATCTACTGTTGAAGGAGGAACTTGATCGTTATGCCACAGAGTTTCCTGAACGTTTCAACTACATATACACTGTTAGCCGTCCGAAAGAGGAGAACTCCCCTTACAGAACAGGGTACATCGACGAGGAGCTTCTAAGGAGCACATTCAGAGAGTCGACGCAAAATACGAAGGTCTTCATTTGCGGTCCTCCAGCGATGGAAGATTCTCTGGTTGGAACAAGAAGATCGCCTGAAGGAATCTTGAGCCGATTGGGCTTCTCGAAGGATCAGGTTCATAAATTCTAGAGATATCTTACTTGCGAGAGCCTTGTATATAGTATGTGTGTATTTAAGGCATTCAGATGTCCCACAAGAGTCTTAACACAGGATATTGTCTGCATCAGATAGATAAAAAGCAGGCCATTGTATCAATTATACTCCTGCTTGGCATCAGGAGGGAGATGGATTAGATAAGCATCCCGAGCCTGCGTGAATCACGTGCACGCTTGTGGATTTGCATGAGCGAAGATGCTGATTGAAACTGTTAACCAGGATATGCCTCTGACCTGAAGTCGCAGACTACAGTGCCAGGAACCGCAAAAATGAGTGGACAGATTAAATCGTTATATCCGGAGCCTAATGTATTGACCTCTTCTCTGAAGGTGGGAGCCGTGACTGGTTAGTTACCAATCCCATCCCGGTGACTGGTCGGCCGGCTTGTATTGCCTCAAATCAGGCAACATAAGCCGGAGACTCATTGCAGCAGTCCTACTTACTTACTCACTTTTTCTAACAGGATCTGCTGGTCTCATATACGGGGGAATATCAGGAGTTATCCGGTCTCCCCACCCCGTCATTCATTCTATCTCTTGCGGAATCCACTGGTTTGCATGTGGAGCCTCCTTTTGGTGTGAGTCTTCCTCTCCTCTGTCCCTTATAGATCTGGAAATGATACCAAGCTTGCTACTACAGGGTTGAGAAGCAACATTCTAAAGCTTCACTATGAAGACAAGGCGACCCCTAAGCAACGGGCTTATGTCAGCGCCCTCTCCGGAGGAGTTGCCGGAGGGGCTGTTACGAGGCTAATGGGTGAGTTTGGTAGCATCCTTTCATTTTCCCGGTTGAGAGAGAAAGGTGGTGGTGGTTGGTTTACTGATGGTCGGAGCTAGGCGGGCGACTTGTCCCTGGGCTAGTTGTTTTCTCGTTACTAGGCTATGTCGGGCAAAGCTCTTATAATGCGATCGACACCTGGCAAATGGAGAACGCGAATACGACGTCTAAGCCGTTCCTGCAGCGGATGGCCGACTCCAAATGGATCCCGCTCAAGTCACTCTCGGATGACGATTACAGGGGTATCTTGAACGAGAAAGTGTTGAGTATCGAGGCTGAGATCGCACTTATTGACGACAAGATCGGGGAGCTTGAAAAGCTCAAGACTAGTGGTCTCGAATCGGGAAATTCGGATCCTGCAGCTAAGTAGTCGGTTTCTAGACGGCCACTAGCAACTTGGCTATGGGTGAGAAAGAGAAAAGTTACGACCATTCTCGAATGGTTGGGGGCCGATCTTACATGTCCGATCTAAGTATGTTAAGGAGAGGACTGTGTGATCCGGGGTGGACGTAGATCGTTCACTTTTCCTCTAGGATGGAAATCCCGGCAGCATTGTGTGTTGCACTTGCACCCAGCTTTGCAATGATGTTGTGCTGCTCACTCAGGAGGTTCTGAGGTTGCGACTTTGGACTTTAACCAACAACACGATGGTCGGATCTGCCGTACCTTTTAGTTGGCTACGGATGCCGGTGCCACCGCTTCCATGAAGCCTCCAGAAGGAGTTTTACCTTTTGTCATGTATCATATTGTTCCCAGACCCATGTATTTTAATTTGAAACAAGACCCTGTATGATCATGAAGCAGACCCTAATTACATGGAACACTACGGAGGTATTCGCGACTGACAAGTTGTTTCTTTCCGCTCCACACGCCAAGAAGCATTCTGGATATTGTTGGGAAAGTTTCGTGAGGAATCCCCAATCAAGCGATACTTGGTGAGAATGTTGCGCTAAATTCAAGGAGGGAAGATGCCAACTGCCGTGTTCGTAGGTGAATAGATACCTGAATCCAACAGAGTCCAAACAAGAACGACCACGCTGCTAAGCTTTGTGTGAGACCGGGTCCCATGGAGCCAGGGGAAAGGGAAAAATGCTCCCCGATCGACTGCAGCAGCCCTTTGAGGCTCGGAAGATGCGTCGAATTGCTTTGCTTGCTTTTTACTTTTTTATTTTCTATGCAGCGGGCAAACCCACATCTTTTGCCAGTTAAGTAAATTGCTAAGCAGCAATGCCGAGCCAGCCGGACGGTCCAGCCAGAGAATAACCCCCTCGTTGGTCCATTGCCAGCCTGGAAAAAAAAAAAGTGGGCGGCTTTCCGCTTCCAGTCTTGAGCGCGACGGGTTCGACCTTTCCGCCGCTGACAGGTTGCCGCTCCAGTGGTTTGGCATCTATGGCTCGCCCTCCCGATCGTCCTCACCTTTCATCATAACGCACTGGGTTTCACGGTGGTGGTGAAGGACGAAGAACAAATCATTATTTACATTCAGGGGAGAAAAGGGACGAAGAAGCATGACTGACTTACGCCTGTTTCGTTACTTTCACAACGTTTCTTCAACCCCTCTGCAGCTCTACCCTTAAACGGAGACCTGTTCTCTTTCCCGGATCCGCCGAAGTACAACCCCCCCATCCCCTCTCTTCAGGAGGGTTGCGCTGGATCTGCTCGGGGGAGCTCGTGTGGTTGCATAGGCATACCATTGCTCCCTCTAGTCATTTTTCACTCACCTCTTCCGTCCAGAATCACTCCGCGGTCTCCGAAACGCCTCTCCATGATCTCTTGTTGGACGGTTGCCCATTTTGTGCAACGGATCGGTCCTACTGACCGCGAACTACGATGACGCTCTTTAGCCCGACCACGGTCCTCGTGGGCTTCCTCCTCCTCTACCTCTCCTCCTTCCTCATATTCGCTATCGTTCGGATTGCGACCGGAATCTCGATTCAACGAATAGGATATTTTTCTCTCCGCCGCATCGCATATGTTCCCCGAGATGGCGTCCAGATCGAACTCCGTGGCCTCGGCCTCTCTCTACACCCGCCCTCGTTCGCGCAACCGACATGGCTCAGCATTCGCTTGACCGAACTAAAATTGACTCTGGACCCTTCAGCTTTGGCAAAGGGGAAGAAGTCCGCCGCAAAGCCCGATGCATCGGTTTCGGAAGCCCCGTCGGAGAAAGAGTCGTCCACCGCGCCGGATAATCGGGAAGACAGCTCTTCTTCCATACCCAAGCGGAGCAAGACATGGCGGAAGCTGACCCGCATGAAGGAGCAAGTGAAACGACTGCATCGGCAAATACATTGGTTGAAGTTGGTGGATGTGGTAGCCGTCAATACGACCATCAATCTCGTGGAAGCTGGTCAGATCCAAGTTGGATCGCTATCCTTGGGTGTCGATACGAGGCGCAAGATGGTGGATCGAGGGAAACTCTTCTTTCGGCGCAAGAACCAGGGCCCTGACGAGCATCGACCGGCGGAGTGGGTGATGAATGTACAGAATGTGCTACTCGGGATAGACGGAGCGGAGCCAACCGAAGTGCTGGACAATGTTCGGGTCAACATACATGGGCTTCTTCACAAGGATCTCGAAGGCCTAAGAGATGCGTCCATCGCTTTCAAAATTGGGCGCATGCATATCCCGTACGACGATGTGATGACTCTGATGCAGCGCGTCAACCAGTCTCGGCAGTCGTCGGTGGAGCCTACCAGTATTGAGACCGATGACGAGGTCTCCTTTTCAGACTTTGTGGAGGAGCTGGATCAGCCCGGAAGTCGAGACGACACCATTGTGCAGGCAGTCGCTGACTCCAAGGAGTTTGCTGGGTCAATCCTTCGGGGTATACAAGGGATCCAGGTTGCCCTGAGCTTCTTCAGGTTAACTCGAGCTTTCGAGCCGCCTTCATCAAAACAAAATCCCGTGTATCTGAACGTGGTGTCGCATGAGTTAGGCATTGATCTTCACCGGATGGACCAAAAGAGTCCTGCTCATCGCATGTATTTCCAACGCGATGATGTCGCCCATCAAGCTCTCCTGGCGGCCATCTCTTTGTCGGTCACTTTGGATGATTGCTCAGGTGAGACGGACAACATACTTTATATCCCAATGGCGACCACGACCATCAAGACCACGCTCCCTTCAAAGACGATCAGCTCCTTCGATGACCACAACCCGGAGGAGCGCAATACCAATATATTATTCGCTAATTTGGTGGTGACGTCCCCATCACTCGATCTAGAGCCAAAGCAGGTCTCTCGGCTCTTAGGGTTGACTCAGGCGAAGAAGGCGTCTCCTCGTGGAAAGAAGAGAGATAACCATCGCTTGATTTCAAGGCTTCTTCCCAAAGCCAGTATCAAAGTATCGGTTCACGAACCAGTGGTTCGATTCGTGCTCCCCATTTCCAAGCCTTCCGACACCCCCGACGACGATTATAATCTACTAATTTCCTCTATCTCCTCTATATCTCTTGACATTGAATCTTCACATTCGTCTGAAGGCGGGGTTCACTATTCGCTCTCTTCCATTTACCGGGTGGCATCGCACCAGCTGTACTATCAAACCCCGTCAGGTGTGAAACATAATCTTCTGACGACCGAGAGCTTGGAATTCAAGGTGCTACTTAGTGCTTCGCCAGAAGTACGCGTGATTGCATCTGGGAGTCTGAATACCTGTTCTGCGCACATGGTCAACGATGAAGTGAACCGTGGCATTCATCAGGTGCTTGAGCAGTTCCGGGCTCAGACGCGACACAGAAGGAAGGCCTCTATGTCATTTGAGGAGCGGAAACCTAGTGTTCTCAGGCGAATCCCTCCGTGGCTGCTTCGTTTTCAATTCGAAGCCACTGGCCTCAGCTTGGAGATTGCTGGTGTTGACACGAGTGTCTCTGAGGTGTCACGTGGTGTCTCATTCCAGCTACAGTCGTGGACCGCAGACTACAGAGCCCAGAAGTCAGAACCAACGACAGTCAGTTTTGCGAGAAGACGAACCCCAAGTCACTCTTACATTGGAGATGAGTCGTCCTTCCGGTTTCCCCCTACGTCGCCTCCGAGACAGAAACAGGTGGGCGCTACAGATGGAAGACGGCTAGCCCTCCATGTCCGCGGCTTCGAGGGGTTTGTCATTGAATCCGAAGACTATTTGGAGGCCGAGCCCTTTTTCTCACTACCGAGATTCGAGGTGGCCCTAAGCACGATGAGTGATCGTCTTGGTCCGATTAGTAACCTCAATTCGGTGTTCAAGGGCGTTTACCTACAATACTCCCTGTACCGCTACTATTGCCTCGGTGTTGCGATGTCTGTGGTTCAGGACGCTTTCATGCGAAAGTCACCGGATATCCCTGAAACGCCCATGTCCCCTGTTCAAAAGGAATTCGCTTACCCCCCATCACCACGTCCGTCAGCGAGGGGCGAGCTCATGACATATGATGTCCGAGCAACTGTCATTCAGCTCAAGACCTTTATGCCTGCGGATCCTCCAATGCTGGTTCAGATTTACGGGTTGACCGCTGGCTCGCATCGTCTCTCCGCTCCATTTGCGAAAGCACATCTCATCAGGTTACACGCAGAAGCGCCGAAGCTCAAAGGTGTGTGGGCTAGAATCATAAGCATGAACAACGTTCGCATTGATTTACGCAAGATGAAACTCAAACATGGCACCAATCTTGTCGAGCAAAGGAGTATAGATGTCTGGGCTGATTTTATTCGATTGGGTGTTCCGCATCATATGGTAATGCATCGCATTTTTGACAACGTGATCAATACCTCAAAGGCACTTAAGCAGCTTCATGAACGCTTCAAGGGTCACTCAGCTGAATTTGGATCAGTCAGAGAACCGGAAGAGCCTAAGAAGATTCCCAGGGTGTCGTTGCGCAGCAAGGCTCTGCTATTTGAATTGGAAGATGATGCTTTCGAGTGGAAACTTGGTTGCATTTATCGCACTGGTCTTATAGAGCAGCGCCAGCGCTTGGCCCGCGAGGAGGCATTCGAGCTGAAATTACAAAAGATCAAGGAATCGGATCGCCGCTCTTCGTCGAGACTTCGGGCTCGATCGAGCCACCGGACACTTCGTAGTGAACGTGTTAGCGGAGAGTCCAGGAGGAGCAAGAGTGCCGACCCTAAACCGCGGAAGAGCTTGCAGGATGACAAGCGTGGCCGAGGAAAGAAGTTCCGCTATGATACCGAGGGAGCTGCTTGCCTGTCTTGCGAAGCCAAGGTCTCAGCCGAGAATGCCTGGTTTCGTCTCCAAGAACACAATTCTCGGTCCTGGAAGGACAAGATCGATTCTGCCCTACGATTCCAGGGCACGTCGATCAAGGAAGTGCGAAACCTTTTCTCCGGTGCTGATGAGGCTCCTGAAGATGTTCAAGAAACGGAAACTGTACTC